TTAAGCACATTTACATCCCGAGAATTTCATGGCCAACTTCTCACTAGTTATTCTACCTAATACCTTGTAATTAAAATTTACTTTGCTGGGTCTAAGCTACTGTCATTACAGCATCGTAATTCCTTTTAATCGAAAATTCAGCTAAGAAGCAACTTGAAAGTAAAAAAGGAGGCAAATTTGCCTTACTTTACGCGACTTACCTTGCTTTTCGACTCCAGAGCAAAGCTCTATTATATATACTGCCCTCATCGTCAGGTGTTAGCAAGTTTTATCTTGCTGCAAAAAGTTACCTCCATCGCCGTGTTGAAGTGAGATATTATCTGCCTGGCTTTTTGAAATTCTTTGCCCATTCAGTAATGGTACTCAAGATTTTCGAGGTCGAGGTTGTCAAAAAATAAACTCATAAAAAAATGCGTTTTGACATACCTGATGGGAGCACCCAATCAACCTGTTCAGATAGACGCTCAAAGTGGGGGGGGGGGGAACTAACGCAAAGTTTCACGTTTAAACTGTAAGTCTTGACTACCGCATTGGGATTTTATTTGCTATGGTGTTTATCGTAAATTTTGCAGTGAACGTTTTCGGTGAGACGTTTTAATTTCAGATAAATAATATCAAACCAAAAAAACACACTTATTTCACTATTTTCTCTCACTGCTGCTTTGGTTTGTTTATGGTTATTTTCGTGATTTTACGTTGCGGGCTTGCGGCATTTCTCAAAGAGAAATCGAAGTTACGGCAGAAAATTAAAAACCACTGATTCGAATATTATTTCTATTAGGCCCCCCCCCCCCCAAAAAAATAAGTCGGTCTCTGGTCAGCGCGCGCGTCGATTTGAATCATGCGCGTCGATCTTTTTTTTTCCAAAATGTTCCGCGGTAGCTCCAACAGCGCCCTCTATTTCCGCACCTCCTCAATTTTGTTTACCAAAGAGCACCAAGGAATGGGACATTGCACCAAGGCAAATGATCAAAAGCACCAAGGCAAATTATGGAGGACACCAATGTACATGAGGACACCAAAAAAGCAAAATAGTACCCTACCTCGTCTGTACAATCACAAGCTTGAAGAAAGAAAAGAAAAAAGCCAAAAAAAAAAAAAAAAAGCCGCGTGGCCGTGTCAATTCCGGAACTTTAGTCTGACCAGAGACCGAATATTTTTTTTGGGGGGGGGGCCTTACACTACCTTTTTAATGTATGCATATTTTTTTCTCTGAGAGGAGATGCATGGGAAAACACAATCGCAAATCATTTCTTATAAGGCTGCTTTGATTTTCGCCGTAATTTCGTAGCTTATCTACGTTTTCGAAAAGGAACTTGACATTGTGAGCAACATATACGTCCTTTGCTTTGAGCTTATTATTCATAAGATAAAATTTGCGTGGGGTGATGTAAATTTTATATTACGTTTTGCCCTTCACCGATGTATAAACACTGTATACTCAGTGTGTTACCTCCCGAGTGAAAGTTGGAAAAAATCACTCGGGTGGGACTCAAACCCACGACCTCCTGCTTTCCGTAGTGCAGACGTCTTATAGAACTCGACCAACGAGCTTGCAGGGAGTCCCACCCGAGTGATTTTTTTCTCACTTTCACTCGGGGTAACGCACCGAGTATACAGTATTTATACGTTGATGAAGGACAAAAAAAACCTATTATTGATTTACATCACCCCCACGCAACTTCCATCTTATATTCAAAGCACATGTAGCATGTATTAGGCCTATAGGGGGGCCATGTTTACAAGTTATGCTTCTTATGGGCCTCTACAGTTTTCACTTCTCTGTCAAACATAATAATACTTTGATTTATTTGTGAACACTGCGGAAATAGTGAACCGAACTGAACTGAATCATGCCTCATGTTTTGGAGGTTTGGAGTCTTGAAGTACTTTCCGAGATTTTCGTGATTTTGCGCGGTTCTAAAATGACAGTGATTTCAAGTGTTAATTTTCACTATTAAATACCGCTGAGATATTTTTCCGTCTGTGCCATAACTGTCGAGACTTTTCACAACAGACGTTCCATGAAGATGAGACTTGTCAGTTGTAGCATGAACAACGTATGACGTATGGGAGGTTTGGCGCTAACACCATGTGAATTTTATCTCTATTGAGTTGTGTGGATCTGAGAAGAACCATGTGTTCTCATCGTCATTATATAGGAGACTTCTCCGAACCACACAATTCAAGAGAAATAAAAATCAGATGCATGGTGTTACAGCAAACCTTTGTTCCAGGAAGATCAAGTTACACTTCTGAAAAGAAATAACGCTGACATTTGATATTTTCTTGTTCTTTTTAATACTTTTTATTTCTCTTGATTGTTGCCGATTGGGATTGTTGCCATGGATTTCACTGTTTTTAGTGGTATTTTTTTAAGCGAACGATTTCGGATGGATGTTGCACAGGAACAATTGACGCAGATTTCAAGTGTTATTTCTTCAATATTAACTGTTTTACGTCGTCGATTTTTCCCGTTCTTTCGTAATTTTAGTCGTTTGTATGACGTAATTTTCGTAGCGAAAAAAAAATTCATTTCAGGGAAAATACGATTTTGTCATTTTCGTGACGAACATTTTCGCACAGATGTTGCAGTTCTTCAACAAATCTTCAAAAAAAATACCGATTTCCTTGTATTTTCCACACAAATTTGAAGAAACAACATGATGCCGACACTCAACAAAAATCAGAATAACGGGAAAACGATGTGTTGTCTCTCTTAAAGGTGCATTTCCCTGTGCTATTTTCTATTTTCATTTCTTTTTTTCCTAATTGCTACTTTAGCAATATAAAAGTTATTCATCTTTGAATGCTATACGGAACAAAATCCACCGACATTTAGTTATTGAATTAAGTTTCGAATTATTGGCTGCCCGACAATTCGGTTCTCGCAAGTAAGGATGGTTCATTTGTGCGCAAAATGAAAGCCCAAACTCGGAATAAAGTATTTTTATCGTTAGAACAAAACATTCAAATTGAAAAAAGGAGAAAAAAAAACAACATTTTTTTTAAGAGCATGTACGGGGTATGAACTTTAAAGGGCCCAAGTATTAAAGTGCAATCCTTTAAATACACCTTTGTGTGCCAATTAATCTTATTTTCAATTTTCAGTTTGCCATTTTTAAGGACATTTTGGTGGTTTTTTGGTTTTTATGCTAATGCGAATTTCCTTATTCATGACCAATTTAAGTGTGATGTCATTTCAGGCAGAAACCTCAATGTTACACAGCTATTTCAACACCAAATTTTGCCAGAATTTTGGATATTTTGGCTGTCGTAAATTTTCTTTTCTTTGGTGATTTGTTGTTGTTTCAGTACATAACAGTAAGCAAAGCTTTCTCACACATGTTTTGTGGGTTGACAATTTGAACAGAAAACCCCTTAAGTGAACAGTGTCTTCTTGAAATGACATCGCAGCAACAGCGCCCTCATTTGTCAGCCTAAGCATGGACAATTTGAAAATGCAGTGCACTTTTCAATAAAATTAACCAAAAAGGGATGTCAAATAGTTTTCATACATTAAGAGGAGTAGAAAGTTGAACTAAATATGTTCCCAGGTATAGATTCATGTCATGAGCCCCAGGCGCAGATCCAGAGGGGGGTGTCAACCCCCCCCCCCCTCCCCCCATTGAGAGAATAGTACGAAAGAACCCCTCCCCCTATTGATTTTACAGAGGCCAAGTGTCCGGAGAAAAAAAACTGTCTACATTTTCAGCATTGATTTGCTGATGAAACACCACCCCCCCCCCCCCCCCCCCCTGCAAAAAATCCTGCATCCGCCCCTGAGCCCTCTAGATAAAATACCGGAGCTGCAGAGGATTTGGCTATTGTACAATTATCGCCGTTTCAAAGCAACTGAACGCATTTACATGATGCCAACAAAAATTCCCTCGTGAGACGAGTAGCAATTTCGGGAGTCTTCTCTCGGTGAACTTCAAATGCGGAGTGACCCTAAGTGTATTTGCCGCGGGGGTTCTAAGATTCTTATTCCTTGAAAGCATTCGTTCAGAGTTTTATTAATGTTTTTTTGGTGATAAAAGGAAAATGGGAAACACTCTTGCATTTTTATTTTGCCAAATTAGTGGTTTTATTGCTTTTAATGCGACGAATATCAGGGACCAGACGAAAGACGTAGTGACGTAATCTTAAATTGCAACTTGCAATTGGCGAAAAGTGCGTTGGATGCCGGTCAGGTGGTCATTCTGATCAATTTGATTGGATTGGTACAGCTGGTCATTAACATAAATTCTTGCAGACGAAAACAACAAACTTTGGTCGTAAGCAAATAATTTTAGTTCCAACACAGTTCAAACCATGATTGACTTATCCTGTGACACCATGTTTTCTTTAAAATTGTGCAGCCAGACGGTGATTTGAAAGTTCTCGAAATTGCGACTGCCCCCCCCCCCCCCCCCCCCCCCCCCAGTCAGGGGCGTCGCTAGAACATTATCCATGGGAGGGGGTGGTGTCGGATCAAATTTGCCGACAGGTTTGCGTATATACTAATCCGACAATCCTCCCCAAAAAAAGGGTCCTCAAATTTACGAATTTGCCGACAGAAAAAACTTATGGGAGGTATGAAAAGTAAATTTGCCGACAAACTTGCAACCAAATATTTGACAAGCAAAAAAGAAAAAGAAAAAAAAAGGGTCCTCAGATTTCAAAATTTGGCGACAACAGTAAAATAATATTTTTAAAAAGGCCCTCAATTTTACAAATTTGCCGACAACAATTATGGATTTGCCGACAGAAATGTTGAATGGTGAGGTGTGTCCCCCCCCCCCCCTTCTAGCGATGGCCCTGCCGCCGGTGACGCTGTGTCGAAATCGCCTTTTGATACAATTGCTCATTATAGACCTCAGTAATTAGGTCTTTAGAATAAATGGATAAATAATTTAATAAATGGATTGCGCACGATATACGAGCCTTTATTACGAGGGGAAGTCATCGGACTTCCACGGGATCTTGATTGATCGACCGTTAACGCGGTATAAAGCGCCCTCATTCGACAGGATGTGTGAATTGTGTAAAAATGGCCGCTCGCAGTGGAAAACTTGTCCAGGTAAAGTCACAAATTCAAGAGAAACTCCGGGCACTAGGTGCTTATTCTCGAGGCTGATTGAAAAAGAATGAATTGAATAATTTCTTAACCAGCCATCTTCAAACTTCTCCGACTGTAGAGATGCTTTTATCATCAGCAAAGCAGAGAGTTTGGTCATCATGTGTATGCTATGGGAAAATAGGGGCGGGGCATGGCCCGCGAGAGGGAGGGAGGCCGGAGGCCGAAGTTGCCATCGTAGTTTGTACACAGGAAGCAAAATATGTGCTGCAGATCCAGAAAATTGTGCATAAATGGTGAAGAAAAGGGCGATCGTGTAGTGTAGGGCCTTTGTTTTGTTTTGATCAAATTAGAATCAAGATTTTTTTTTTCTAAAAAATGACATTGTCAAGCTAGTCCGAGTAACTAGGACTTTTCGGATCACTTTTTTAACATTTGGACATGGTCGGGCAATAGTAGAGTCCGAGATCGATGTCCCTATTGCGGTTACTAATAATTCTTTTTGACCATTTTCACTCGTACCCCCAATCAAAATGGTCAGATTTCACCCTCAAAACGGTCTTCAAACTGCCTTATGCGCCCCTGTAGGCTTCAGTGGGAAGTGAAAATACAAATGGTGGTGGTTGGGTTTACATACCTTTAGCCCCATAAATGTGGCCTATTTACTGGACTGCCTCCGTAAACATAGGCCACACATCCACATGTACAAAAATCGTGTCGACGGAGCCAAATTTTGATTTTCACATTTAGGCTTAGTTTGTAGGTTTTTTTTGCTTTAGAAGCATACTCACCCTCTTTATAGGCTAATCAGAAAGTGCTGCCTTTTTCAGATGTATATTTTTCGTGAAATTTCCAGATTCATTTTTACACGTTTGCGTATCAAAATTTCAACATGAAATTTCACAAAAATTAGACATCCGAAAAAGGCAGCATTTTCTTATTAGCCTGTAAAGAGGGTGAGTATGCTTCTAAAGCAAAAAAACCTACAAACTAAGCCTGAATGTGAAAATCAAAATTTGGCTCCGTCGACACGATTTTTGTACATGTGGATGTGTGGCCTATGTTTACGGAGGCAGTCCAGTAAATAGGCCACATTTATGGGGCTAACATACCTTTGGGAAGAAAAGAGAAATTTCACCTTCAATTTGGGAAACCTCCTTGTCAGAAGTGCCTTGTTTGACTTGAGGCTGCCATTTTGAATTCAGGAAAAGTAGACTTGAACAATGTACATGGCTCCTGGCTACTGTTTCCCGGCCCCCCTAGTCATTTGTCTAAGGTACAAAATCTCAACTAGAAAATCATCTTCAATATCCTTTGTTCACCCTACATCTAAAAAAGGACTGCTACAGATACTCTTTCCTACCAAGGACAACAGCTCAGTGGAACCTACTTCCTACAGAAGTCAGGGAAGCTACTTCAGTGGAGTCCTTTAAAGGGAATATACAACATTTGCAAACATCAAAAAACAAAACTACCAAGTTTGTACGAAATACCTTACTAGGATGTTGGTAAATGACAGTCTAAACCATCCTGTAAAATTATGGCACCTGGTGTGAAGTCATTTTCAAGAAAAATGGTATTTTTGTATAAATTTCCAACAGTGGTCGGCCGACCACCGTTGGAAAAACCTAACTATTTTTCAACTACTGCTGCAAATGTACCCTTTTTCAGTCCAAATTTTGTTTGCTATTGGTTACATGTTCATGAACGGGTGCAGGCAGTCCAGCTAGACTGGTTTCCTTACCTTACAATTTTCCGGCATCTATAAATTGATCCATTTCATCTTTAGTGGAGTCAGGGAACCAGACTATTTGAACATTTCCAGCATTTCCGAACACAAAACTTCAAACATGTTAGTTTAACAATATTTCATCTATTATGCTAACACCTCAAATAGTTCATTTTCTGAAAATTACAGCAAAAGCCAATGATGTACATTTCCTTTAAGTCAACGCTCCACGAGATGCAGTTGTCTTCAACACTAAGGGGGCCTACTAACAAAATTGTATGGGGATGCTGCTAGCCACCACGCGCCTGCAACCGTACATCCCATAGTGGAGTTTGCTTGCAGTATGATACAGAACCACGAAATTGAAAGTTCTCCAGCCCACTAATAATAATAATAATAACTAGAGGTTCGCGTTTGTTGAGTTACAAACGCAGAGTGGTCGGGCTGGCATATTTTCTTGTGTTTACAGTGACTTAATCATAATTGAACTGGGAAACATTTCCATATACGAAGTTCACTAATTTTCCTCTGTATTGACTAACAAGCCCCTGGATAGCAATTTCATGTCATCAAAGTCAATTTGAGCAGTGAGAAAATACAAGCATTTTCTTAGAAAACACTTAGAATTTTTCAGTCCAATCTCATTGGGTTTGTACACAGGGTGTTGAGTGAACTTCGTATATGGAAATCTTTCCTTGAACTGCACATTACCCCTCCCATTACCCTGCACCCATTACTCTGTGTTTTTCACAAAGAAAATCACACAACCTGCAGTTGAACTTGTTGCTACCTCGGCAAGACTTGTAGGCCTATCAGGAAGCGCACATCTGGTGCTGCATGGATGGCTACTCAAGCATACAACCAGTTGGGACTATTGGTAGACTTGCCGGAGCCTCTTACGTCGTTAGAGTTTATGCAACATATGCCAATCATATCATAAAATGGCCTTTATGGGTTTTTTTTCTTTTGCATGGGCATAATAAAATTCTGCACTGACTTTACGACACAAAAGTTTGTGGCTACACGCTGTAGAAATATTAATTTTCAGCATTCAGATATGAGAGGAAAACTGGTGAGGGGCGATTTCAATCGGTTATGGAAAGAAATCTTGTTTTCCTTTTATTTGAGGCTAATTTCTATATTTTGAATTCACCTAACTTTGACCTTCCGGTCAAAGGAAAGGTCAAACGACTTTGACTTCTGGATGATGACGCCATCACACTGGTTTTGTGTCTGGCCTACCTCACTAAACACTTTCATAATATATGTGTCTGTAGTAAAATGCTTCCACTTTTGAGCTATATTCAGTTTTTATTGCTCTTTCGGTAACACCGGAAGTAAAGGTCAAGCGGTTTTGTGTCTGGGGACAAGAAATGTTCCTCACGGCATAGTCTACAACCTCACGAAAAAACTCTATTTAGTTCAAAAGATATACGCAAACTATTTGGTCAAAATTTGCCTTTAAATCGCTTGTAATTTGATACCTGATGATGTCATGATGGCGTAACAAAAATTATAACATCTTGGTAACAAGGTACAAGTTCACACAAGGTTTTGTGATCATACCGTGAACCGTTTGGAAGAAATGTTGCTTTGTTTTGATTTCAGGCTAACGTCTTCATTTTGAATTCATTTAACTTTGACCTTCCGGTAGACCCGGAAGTAAAGGTCAAGCGAGTTCACGTACATGGCAAAAAATCTGATTACAGAATACAAACATCATTAAATGTTTAGTTCAAGAGTTATAAGTGAAAGTATTTGGTCACCTTTTCAGTTAAAATCACTTGTAATTTGACACCTGATGACATAATCATGACGTCAGAGTAATATGCACCACTTCGGATGAGGGTCGATATATATTGAAAGTTACAAGTTCATACGTTTAAGAGAAAACCCGCGGAGAAGTATTGTCCGGAAAAAAGAAAGAAAGAAAGATTAATCGCAACAAACCCAAAGAGTGGTCGGGTTGTGCCCGACCACTCAATAATAATAATAATCGGCATTTAAGAACGCTCTTATTAGTAAACTAAATAATAATCGGCATTTAAGAATGCTCTTATTAGTAAACTAAATCACAGCGCTTACAGTATTATTATTACCCCTGATCATTGGGCCAATTAAACATTCCATATACCATCTCAGCTCCCTGGGGAGTATACAGCTCGATGCTGCCTGTTAGGTGCAATGAAGCTAATTCAATCACATTAACCATCTCTGCCCTCACAGGTACCCATTTACTCCTGGGTGGAGAGAAGCAATGAGTGACAAAGTGCCTTGCCCAAGGGCACACGCACCATGACCCTAGGCTGGACTGGAACCCACAACCTGCAGCTTTACCCACAGACCACGAATCCAGTGCCCTTAACCACGAGGCCACAGCACTCCACTGTGTTTTTACAAGCTGTACCATGTTTTGAGAAAATGTTTTGGTGCATTTAAAAGACTTTAACTTTTTACTTGTGTCTTCCTCTTGACTCTCTTTAGTTGCTGAACCTTGCGTCATGCGTCCGCGCCCAACGCCTGCCGGGACTCAACTTGGCAAGGACGCTGTGCTCGTCCTCATCCCAGACGACCCCACCTCGGGAGTCGGCACCGGCTGACCGTTCACAGGCTGTTGACATGCCAGAGGGGGAAGACAGACCGCACATGCTGCATGTGGTGTGGCGGTTGCGGTCTGTCAAGCGGCGACCTTACTGGGAGAAGGACATCATCAAGCAGCTCATGCTGGAAAAGGTACGTAGATCTTATTGACTTATTGGGTGGCATGGGTGGCTTGTGCGTAAAGCGCTCGCCTCTCACCAAGGTGACCACGGTTCGAATCCTGGCCGCGGATCACATGTGAGTAGAGTTGTGCGTTGGTTCTCTCCTGTGCCACGAGGGTTTTTCTCCGGGCCCTCCGGTTTTCCTCCATCCAGAAAAATCAAACACTTTCGATCTCAGGCTGTGCTCCTTGGTCATATAATGGGTCGATGTGGCCGGCAGCCATAGGCGCCTTTACGTGCCAGCGGCCCGACCACGTTGTAGCCGCGTCCTTCGCAATTCAGCATACCAGCTGCGAGTAGGATGATTAGCCTCCCAAATTATTGTTATTATTATCCTGACTGACATTATTGTCGAGTAAATTTTACAGACTAGGGCTGTGCGACTAGTCGTAACTGGTGACTACTATTGATAGTGGCAACCTCCATTTATTTCATGGCTGACTACTCATGGCTCCACAATTAGATATTCTAACTAATTTGTTGGAACATTCATGGGGAAAGTCTATCAGAAGATCAATACCTGTGTTTATTCATACGTTTGGAATTTACTAAGTGTTCATTTGAATGGATGTGCCATCAAACAAAATTGCTCCGTTGTCCAAAACAAAAACCAGACTAATATTCCCAAACAAGAAACTGGATGAGTCCAAAATGCTTGCTTTGTGTGCACATACCAAGCTGCATCACTGAAATGCTCCGTTAACCCTAACCCTCTAGGGTATTTTGGCTAGAAACCCTGCCAAACGCAGCAACATGCAACAAGCCTGCTCAGTGTAGCAATTAAGATCCATCAGGTCAAAAGTCTGAAGGCCAAACTGCCTCAGAGTCTTTGGTCACTGAACGCAGCAGGATCAGCTGTGGTATTGTACTCTCATTGTTTCAGAACTGGCCGTTTATGTACCAGACTTTTCCCCCCGAGGGACTGTGTTACGTCTGGCAGGATTATCCCCGGAAAAAAAATGTTGCAACCTGACGCCACTTCCACGATTGTGTACAAAGTCTATGGAGGGTCAAGAATTTTTTTTTAAAGTATTTCCTTACAAAATTGGAAATATTTCTTGGTTCCCGATTTATGTCTTATCATCATTTTTGCAATGACTGACCTTCATTTAAATGATATATGAAGAAAAAAGTGGCATCAGGTTGCAACATTCTTTCCCTTAATATCCCCATCCAGTCCGACTCCAACACCAGGGTTTGTTCACTTTGTTGGAATCTGTTTAAGTTGGTACTGCACTGGTAAAATGATTATGCTTTACAGGCATATCACCAATAAACAGAGTCCAACAGTTTGGGTGTACAGTTCAGCACATGGTGTTGGAATTTGCAGGGATGAGGAAGGTTCCTAGTAAATCACTCAAGGGGGTTAGTGTTATTAATCGGAGGTGTTTCCTAAGAATTAAATATGGCAAGTACATGTAGTGACTACCCGACAAGTAAATTTTACTAGTTGCACACCACTAGTAAATATTGTTATCAGGTCCTTGCCATTGACACAAGCAGTAACAAAGAAAATACTAGAATTGAAGTCCACATTAGTTAAAAAAAAACCCAGAAAATATGATTTGTGAAGATTTGGACTCTGGTGGTGTGCATTTATGGGTAGTTTGCGAACCAGGTACCCTATTGAAGTAAACTAAGGATACTGCGGTACTCGTCAAAGAAACCCCACCCCAAAATTTCTATCCCGGAAGCTGCTGTTCAAATTGTTGTGCACATTATCACTACCACATCGGTGTGTCACTGTCAATGCAGGAAGACACAAGTGTGTACAGTGCGGGCTAAAGGATTTGCAATTTTTAAAATGCCCATAAACATGAAAATCTGTTTCAGTTTTCCATGTAGCCTGGTTGTCATTTTGAAAATTTCCCCAAAAATGGCATTCAAAATTTTTCCTTTTTTACTTTCTTAGAAGTTACTAAGTAATTTGTAAAGTTGGTTACGGGTACCCGATCCGATAATCTGGAAACTGTTCCTGACATCAGTGGTCGGGTACCCAGGTACCCGGTTCCGATGCACAGCCCTAGTGCCGGCCCAGACTTGTTCCCATATCCCGACATACATTTTTTTTTACTTACTCTTCAAAAATACTTTATCTTCTTTCAGAAACATTTTCCAGTGGTCCACAAGAACACAGAGTCCGTGAACGCACTCCTGCGCAAAGTCCGCCACTTGGTGCGCATCAAGCCCCTGGTGCTGAAGCAAGGGCTCCCTCAGGGGGACTACGACTCCACCCTGCTCAAGTGGAACGGCGAGTTTGTCGTCCGGAGGAAACTGGACATCCTTGGCCAGGAAGTGATAACGGCCGAGGGAGAGGAGACGAACGACGGACTGAAAGTTGAAGCCGAGAAGACGGCTATTAAAGATACAGAGTCCAGATGATGATAAAGTTGCAAATTGACTGTTTTGCGTTGTAAAGTTTAAGTCTGTCCCGAGCCAGTATGACTCGCGAGGCCGGTGTTTATCTCAAGTTCTCATTTGTACCCCTGGGTCCAAAGAGCGAATTGTGGTAAAGTGCCTTGCCCAAGAAGTACTCAAGAACGTATGCCCACAATTGGAATGGAACTTGCATACCACCAAACACGAGTCAGGCCGGTGTTTATCTGGAGTTTCCCGTTTGTACTTCCTAGGTCAATAGAGCCAATTGTGGTAAAGTGTCTAGCCAAAGGACATGAGGACCATGATCCCTGTTAGGGATTGAACTCCCGGACCGCTGCAAATGAGTCAAACACCGTAACCATCGGACCAGGGTGCTCTACAAATAACACTGTTCTTGGAATATCCAACAGCTTGGAAAGCTACATAGGATCATTTACTCTATGTGCATCTCTGTCATTAGAAGCAACAGAGTTGCTCAGAATTTTCAGTAGGGTGCATTACTAACCCTTTGAAGTTTTGGCTCAGCGACTACTTTATACTTTGAGAAAACAGAAAACATATGCAAATTGTTCTTGTAACTGGATTCCATTGTTAATGCATAGAAGAATAAAAGTGTGCCGGTGGGCACGCTTTTATAAAACCGCCTTCAATTATAATTTTTTTTTAAATTTTAGCTGAGTGACTACTTTATACTTTGAGAAAACAGAAAACATATGCAAATTGTTCTCGTAACTGGATTCCATTGTTAATGCTCAGAAGAAAAAAAGTGTGCCAGCGGGCACACTTTTATAAAACCACCTTCAATTATTTTTTGAAATTTTTGTTGGGGGGGGGAGGGTGGGTGATCTAAACCATTTCTGGCAGAATAAATTCAAGGGGTATTCCCTTTTTTAATAATCTGTTAGTCCCTGCATCACCCAAATCTGCCCCGCCTGTTACTCCAAGTACCGCGCTAAACTGGCCGAACATTCTATGGTTTTACTGATTTTTGTCGGTGAAAAAATACGTTAAAGGGAATATACATCATTTGCTTTTGCTGTAATTTTCAGAAATGGATGGAATTGGGGGGTTGGAAATATATAGCAAATATAGTTACACTGACTTTTTTGAGGTTTTGGGTTCGAAAATGCTATAAAAACGAAGAAAAACAATCATTTACCTTTTGTCTGGTTCCCTGACTCCATATAAGAAGAAACAGCAGTTTACATACATTGGGGAATTGTAAGGTCAGGGAACCAGTCTAGCTGGCTTGTACCTGTTCATAGGTGTGTAATCGATTGCAAATAAGTGCGATGGTCAATTGGGGCCAGTATTTGAAAAAAAGCCAGTTGTTTCCAACGCTGGTCGGCCGATCAGCATTGGAAATTGATACAAATATACCACTTTTCTTGAAAATGACAGTATACAAGGTGCCATGATTTTACAGGATGCTTTACACTGTCATTCACTAACAGTCCAGCAAGGTATTTAAAAATGATTTGGTAGTTTTATTTTTTGATGTTTGCAAATGTTGTATTTTCCCTTTAAACAATGTATTGCCAGTGTTAATGAGTCCAGCTAGTTACATTTTGTAAAGTGTTATTTAAAGATAGAAATGGAAAGAATGTAGTCTTTTGACACCATTATATTTCCTGTTTTTCAGCCAAGTCCTTGGGGAGTTTTGAAAACTTGAGGTATTTCAGGCAAATGTTTTCAGCCCCATGTGTTCTTATTGTCAACATCATTATATGTAATAATTGACCATCATTGAGATTTTGTAGGGTGAAAGCATTTGGGTAGGCCAACAACATTCTATACACACATATTGTGTAATAAAAAAAAAGATTGTACAATAAAATGTAAATTTAAAAAAAATTGAACCCATTTCATTTTGCTCTTGTGCGTCCGATTTGTTTGTGTTAAGTGCACAAAATATCTTTTTCCTCTTGTTTTGTAAATTAAATAATGGAGCCCCACTCCAATTCGGAAGCCCGCCCTCTTTCCTGCCAAAGCAAAATCCCTGAGAAACTGTTGCGTAATGGAGTGGACTGGTGAACAAGTCTATCAGGTATCCGGTCACTTCGGCACCTTGCCAACTCGGTACCTGCCAACTCGGCACCTTGGCAACTCGGCACCCACCAACTCGACAGGTGCCGAGTTAGTTAAAATGTAGGTGCCGAGTTGGAAGTTTTGAGAAAGAGCAAAATTCGGGTGCCGAGTTGGATAGGTGCCGACAAAGTGCCGAGTTGGCAAGGTGCCGAGTTGGCAAGGTGCCGAGTTGGCCGGTGCCGAGTTGGCTAGGTGCCGAAGTGACCGACATTCCTACATAACGTTTACATATATAAGGCCTTATATATATCAGGACAGTCTGTGACCCGAGCATTCCGAACCGCGATACCAACACAAAGCCGTGCAAGAACACCGGAAGTATAATATCGATTCCGTGAGACCGAAGCCATGAGTATTAAATACACAATCCGTGCACAGTTCAGTATCGACTCTGTCGTTTAGCGTAATTGATAATTGAGAATCGGATAAGGAACTTTCAGCAAAAAAAATTACATAAGGTCAAAGTTCAAATCTTAGGTAATACACGTCTGTCGTCGAACGGCCTTCTATACACAAAGCGTTACTGTAGATTATGTATTCTAGGTTCGCAAGCTATACGTAAGTCAAGTTTTCAGCGTTATCACAGTTTATGTAAAAAGAGCCAGAGAAGTTATGAAGTTACTGTCGCTCAAGCGAAGACATCCCTCAAACGGACGGAGATCTCCGAGTCTGACGCCTCTGCTGGCTCCGCAAACCACGGTTGGTGCTCAGCGCTGTGCGTGGTTGAGTACGTGCAGATTCACACGTAACGTCGGGACCAGTAAACACTTGCCAAAATGTTCGGCGCGGACGAGATAAACTTGTATTTGTAAGTAGACTGACTCAATCAAGTTATGTATAGGCCCCCTATGCCATGTATGCCGTTATAATATATGTAAGTTTTGTTTCAAATTTGATGAGGGCCTGTAAAATTATAACTTAAAGTAGGCATACAGTCGTTTTCTTAGTTCTGAATTGTTCTTACATGTTTTAGTTCCAGATTGCTTCAATTAAAAACCTAGGCACTTTTTTGGATAAGTCTCAAATAATTTGTTTTCTGATGAAGTGGATTTTGAAAAGGAAAAGCTTCTTGATACACAAGAAGTGTATAAAAAGTTAAGAAGAGGCATTTTAGCCAGAATTTCGACTCACACTTTGACATGTTTGGACTGTTTGTAGAAAATCGCGGGAGCTGCGAATCAACGATAAATTTTCTCCTCCGTACATCACTCGTACTGTCATGACTGTGTTATTTTGAATATTTTGTTCATACACTACAGTCGTATAAACTCTTCCATCGAATGTTTGTTGAATCAAAATAAGTTGAACAATTTGTAACATTTCTAATATTTGAAATTTCACCAACGAATGATCGTATGTTTTGCCAAGTTCCGAATTGTGCGTGCACTTACGTCCCAACTACACGTGCGTTAATTGATTTTGTGTGATGATTCTGTGGTGGGTCAAAGGTTTTCGGTCTGTTGCGCTGCAGTCAAAAGTTTCAAAATCATTTATGTTAATTCTCTTTTTAAAATTTGCTGGAACTCTCTTGGATGAACTATTTTTGGAAAATTGATCAGAAAATGTGCCTGATTCGGGGTGATTCTGGTTGAAAAAAATGATTTTCTCCTGTGATTTTTTTCTCTTGCACAAAGCAGGTTTTGATCGATTCGGAACTGATTTAACCAATTCAGAACGAGGAAAAGTGGTACTTTTGACAGGGGGTCAGACAAGTCGACCGTTGAGACAACTCGACTCGGGACAAGTCGACCGTTGAGACAACTCGACCGTTGAGACAACTCGACCGTATGTGCGATAAATGGAAAGACAAGTCGACCGTTGAGACAAGTCGCCTCGCATGATTTTGGGCCTAGTTTTGGGGATAGTACCGGGGATTTTGACGGCGGCTGATCGCCGTTTGGGAGTTATGATACATGACTTTGTTTTGCTGCATAGAGCTGAGCCGATATAGCGCAGCGTGACTGTCCGTGCATGCACATCGTTCGTTTTTGCCAGGCCTGTGCGCGCATCTTCGGTCAACCGCGTGGCCGTACCGTGCACGTTCCGTGCACGTTAGCTGTCTCAACAGTCGGGTTGTCCCGAGTCAAGTTGTCTCAACGGTCGACTTGTCTCAACGGTCGAGTTGTCTCAACGGTCGACTTGTCCCGAGTCGAGTTGTCTCAACGGTCGACTTGTCTGACATTCCTTTTGACATATTAAAGTCAAAATAAAAACAACTTAAATTTGGAATATTATTTTCTAGTATCTCTATCACTCAAGGTAAACTTTTTAACCAATGTGATGTCACATGAATTCGTAGAGTAGTTAAGCCAACAGCAGCCTGAATGATGTTTGCTATCCGGAACTAGGAAAACGACTGTAGTCTGTTTGAAATTTTTAATTTTTTTTTGGAGATTTGAATGTTTGCATGGTGAAAAGGTAATAAGATGAGTTGTTTGCATTTTTTTGGTTTCTTAAATTTAATCTGGACAACGGGACTTAGTTGTTGTGAAATGATAATTGAATTGATCATCAAAAATAGACAGGAAAGAATGTTGCATGCCGATGTCACTTTTTTTATCAGTATTACTTCAACGAAGGACAGTCATCGTAAAAAATATTATAAAGACATGAAACTGGAACTGACACTAGAACTGAGAAACTTTTCCAAGTTTGTTAGAAAATACTATGAAAATGCACTCTCGATAGACTTTGTACACCGCAAAAGAATCCTGAAAAAAAAAACATTGAAAATGACAGTGTATCTTAGGGTACTAATGGTCAATTTTCAGGAACAGACATATAGAAGGCCTATGCAAAATAAACGTGCATGCGCATCGATTGAAACAAAATCAGTCTTCCAAAAACTTTTGGCAAGAGTGTATTTTATGATGACGGCATGGCATTTTGTCAATTAGTTAGTTATTTTAAGTCTATTATTTTGGTCATTACGGGGCTTATTTTGGTCCATTTTTTGGTCAATCTTCGTGGACAGACAGACTGACCGACCAACCACCCAGTGACAATAGAAGCTTCTGCCAGAGCCTTAAAAAAAAAGAACAGAACGTATTTATTCTGAAATATGACTTCTATTCTCCGTGCTTTCATGGATTTCTTACAGCCTCTCAGCTAGCATTGACTTCAGATAAAACTTGAAAAATGTGAGTTTAAAGTGTTTGTGGGTATACTAAAAAAAAAAACACTAGGAAGAGAATTGTGGTGTGGTGTTGCATTCATACTGTTGCATTCATAGTGGCATGCCTTTTTTTTTCCGGGAACAGCTAATTCCCTCAATTTTTGTTCATGTTTGTGTAATTAAAAATGAAAAAAAAATCAAAACTGTTTTAAAGTCTTGTAAAGCTTGAAATAAATTTTCCTTTTATTTTTGGTGTTTTCCCATTTGTAAGCCATTATTACGAACTATGCAGATGTTGGTTGTACATGAAATTTCAAGCATGTTTCAAGTTACCACATTCATTGAAAGCAGTTGCCACAACTTGTAAGCACAAAATTAAGGGTTTTTTTTTTTGGGGGGGGGTGTCACAATTTATGCAAAATATGCTATTGCCTCATTGCCTCACTGCATAGCTGGCTTTGTGTCTTGCCTTTTTTTTCTTTTGCTCATGATGTTGCACATTCACGAGGCCACTTACACTGTACATGTGCGCAGCACGTTGCATGCATCGTGATACTACTCTGTAGACTTACACAACTAAAGTCTTATATTATCTTGTATATTTTCTTAGGTAATGACCGAATACATACATGTATGGTCACCAAGGCCTGTTCTCTGTTTATTGGATATTTTATAACAGAAATGCAGCTCAAATCTCAAGGTGTACTGTAATACAACATTGCTTTACTTCAGCCCATTAAATGTGCAGGCTATAATGTGAGCGCTCTCATGTCATGTGGGTCCAACACATTACTCATCATAATGTGCTGCTTCCGTCTATAAATAGTGGCTGCTCTAGTGTTTGTATTGGTTACTGGTGTAGTATGAATTGAGGTTTTATTATGATGTACAGTCTCTGTGGTGGTATTGTGCATGCTCACACATAGATAGTTAGGAGAGGGACGAGTCATGTGAGAGGGTTTGACCAATAAAGGGGAAAAAAGTCCAGTTTTCATAGGAGTCCAGTTTACATATCATGGGCCAACCCCCCCCCCCCCCCAAAAACACTTCCTGGATTTTTTTGCAGCCAAACTGTAGACCAACTTGCTTAATAATTACTTAACACAATTACTTAACATTCGAGATTACCAAATGCTTTATGCAAATTTATGCAAATGGAGACTTGTGTGACACCAGATTTTGTCAGACAGGTCTTTTTTTTTTTAAGTGCAGAGGAATTGACTGCTCATGAATCTGTTTGTGAAGGTTTTTTATTGGTCTTTCAAGCGGTAACACTAACACTGCTCTAAAGAATGGCTGGAAAAAATATTAAATTGCAAACTTCAACTTATGTAAACATATGTTATGTTAATCTACACAAGGATTGTAAGGGCCCGTTTCGATTTTATATCCAGGCACGTTCCAGTCAAGTTGCAGACCTAGAATCATTCACTTTGCCCAGAAGAAGCTCTGCACTTGTCATGAGACATGTTTATTTCATTAGCAACTGCTGGACTCACCAATACTGATGAAAGAATCCTTGTTCAGAAGTTGTTCAGAATCCTGCAACTTAGAACCAATAACAATGTCCGCAACATCCCTGATATGGATAAAGATGGGCCCTAAAGCATTGTGTGCTATGAAGGAATGTGAAATGTGTTGGGAGTTTTAGTTTGTTGTGGGCAAGCATGAATCCGAGATGAAGACATTTTTGAAAGGTATTTGAAGTGTAACTGTTCTATTCATTTGTTTATTTTTTTTGTTGGTTGCCAGAGCATCAAGCCATGGATCTTGCCAAGCAAGCCTTTGGTTGCAATAATAACGAACAAGCGACAGAGATTTTCGACCACCTTCTACACATGCACGGACCCAACATGGACTGGCTGATCGGGCGGGGGGACACGTACGCCCGACGGGGCAATATGAACGAGGCCCTGGGGGACTACATGCACGCCTTCCGGCTGGGCGAAGTGGCCCCGGAACGGCTCAGGGAACTCGTGAACGCCCTCGTGGCGTCGGTCGCAAAGAAGGGCGACTTGGCGGAGTCGATACAAAAGTTCCGTCGAAAACTCAAAGGGCAGCCTTCGGACCTGTTTTCCTGCCCGGCCTGCGAGGCCTTACTCTACGAGCCCACCACACTCCCCTGCGGACACACGACTTGTCGGGACTGCTTACTGCACGCCGCGGAGTCCAGAACGTGTGCCAAGTGTAAAGTCAAACACCCCCGCCCGCCGGCGGGCGGGCCGCGGGTGAACTTCAAGCTGGTGGAACTTCTGGAGAAATATTTCCCCGAGGAGATGAAAGCGCGACAGTTGCGGGCGGAAGGGAACAAGTTTTATGCCAAAGGAAAATTACAGGAGGCTGTGAAAAAATATACCGAAGCAACCAAATTAGGTAAGGATTTCTTCAATCTTAAGTCATATGAAAATTGAAGTGTTTGAAATAAACGAAAAAAAAAACACCCAAATTTCAGTTGTTGTTTTTTGTGTTCAGTGAACTGTTAATGATTTAACTTTTTCGAAGAGCTAATTAGTTCATTTGGGATTGCCTATAAAAGAACTTATTTATTAAAAATAAACTTACTATCTGCATAAAAAAACAATGAAAAAATGCCAGAATTGATGTTAAAAAAAAATCTCTTGATTTGACAGTTATTTCAAATTACACAATCTGATATCGAATTGTGCATGTCCTCATTGTACAGATATGTACTGTACGTAATTGCTTCATCATTCCACAGAAGTAAACAATTGCGTTTAACTTTTTTTTTTTTTTTTTTTTAATTGTAAAAAATTGAGGTATTTTTGTTTTCCAAAAAGCATTTGTTGTACTTCAGCATTTCCCTTTTATGCAATTCTAAATGTCAAAGGTATTTTTATTTCAAAGGAAACTCCTAAATTCTCCCAGAACCTAAAAATATTCAGTGAAAGCATGTAGCACATTCTTGAAGCGCTATTTTGTCACCGGGAGCAGTGTGTACTGTTATCCTTGGAAAACCGTGCACAATCAGTTGTTCTATTTTGAACTGTAATGGGCACCATTTGCAAACATCTCAAAAATTAAACTGTCAAAAAAATATCAAGAAATATCCTTCTGGATTGTACATGTAAGTTAATTATAGGATTGTGCGTCCTGTGACGTCACTGAGCCAAGTACGCTGTTATTTTGAAAAGAGAAAAAAGAGGGAGGAAAATATGTTACATGTATTTCCTCGCAATTTAGTCAGGACCAAACCATCGCACTTTTCAACAACAAAATAATGCTTTGAAACAAACAAAATCAAAATCGTCCGAGCTGAAATTTTGACAGGTGTCTTTTGATAGCCTGCTTCATGTTCATTGTATTGTTGTTCCTGGAATCGACATCAACTTTTTTGTGTGTGGGCTAGTCCTAATTCAATTTGGGGTACAAGTAACTACATGTACATGTATGCTCTATGCTACATGAATGTACATGTACATTGTATAACATGCAGGTGACAAGAGTTACATAAATCAGTCAGCGCGCAGCGTGCTCGATAATGAGGCACACAGCGAAGTTTTATTTGCAGCGAGTTGTACGGTCTCGGACCTTCGAGAATTCACGAGGTTTCGCGAGCGTTCGGCAGTGCCCCTGGAAGATCGACGAGAAACCCGTTTTCGCGGCAGTGTTGGGCCAACATGGAGGGGTGAGTGAAAGAATATTATTTTCGGCGTCGAATGATACCATTTTTTAGTGATTATATTGTTGTAAAGGTGATTAATTAGGCTTGTGAAATGAGGTATAAAAACCCTTTTTTTCAACACTACCTGCACGTTTTGAGTGATCCTGACTACCTCGGGATATTGTTGGATAAAATTTGTCGATTCCTGGACTCTTGAAGAGTTATGCTTTCGAACCGTACTATTCCCATCTCTGCAGGTTTCGTGGGCGATTTATATTTTGATGCGAAATATACGCGACAATTGCATGATTTTGGTCGGCAACGTCTGATTTGGATGACGTCACTCGTGTATGCAGTGTGTATTACTAACCGGCACTACGTATATGTTCGTACGTGGGTGCATCGCGACCGATGTCGACAATAGATTCCTACCCGTTACTTTGCATGTCGCATCAAGTACAAAACAAATACATCCCATGTGCATCTAGGCTATGTATCCAGGCGCCACTTAATTCAGCGGTTGTGTACAAAGTCTATGAGTGTGAAGAATCAAGAAAATTAATTTTCTAAGTATTTCCTAACAAAAGTGGAAATAATTCTCACTTTAATCTCAGTCCCAGATTCATGTCTTTTTTAAAACATTTTTGCAATGACTAACCTAATTTAATATTAGGTCTTTCCCTGTAAATGTACATGTATATTGATTGATTATAATGTTTCTCTCCTTTCTCTTTTCTTTAATATACCCTCTAGGTCAAGTACGAAGAGTGATTTACCCATTTTCCCTGTCAAGACGGTTGGACACAACATCCGCACTGGAAGATGAACATGACCAATTTTAATGGAACTCTATTATTTTACCATGGATTGAACTTTCCAATTTTTGTGGTACAACCGGATTTTGCATGTTTAATTCAATGACGTGTGATCAACAACTCACAAACTGACGAATCAGGTGACGGGGATTCTTACGCCATGTCGCATGGAATATTGCATGTATTGTTCGTTGATAAAAAAACCTGAGGAATAAGCACTTTCATGGTACATTTAATATGCGCCATCTTGTTCACATAGCAAGAAGAACAAGCATTGCTAGATGCGGACACATTTTGTAATGTACACATTTTGGAATGAACGCATGATGACTTGGAAGCACAAAAGGTTTTGTTTGATGACGTGTAGACTGCAACGCATGTAAATTTGCCCGGTAAGAAAAATGACGCATTACAGTGAAAAAAAATAATCAGTTCAATCAAATTTCTCTAAATATCAACTTCCAGTTTTATTTCACAAATTAATCAATGTCAGTAGCCTTTATGCTGTATATTGAAAACCGATAATACAATACAAACCTCTGCGAACGACTGTACACTGCACTCGAAGTCCATATCGATGTTCTGAAAATACGCAGACTGCGTAACATTATGAACCACTGGCTACTTTGCTGATCGTCTGCGAAACAGTTTGCATCTGTCTGAGTTGTCGGCGACACTTCCAGATGAAATGTTTCCATATTATCTGTTCTGCAGTTTTGGTCCCATTTTTTGTTTCACTTTGCGTTTCTTACGTTGAGATGGAAACTAGCCTGAACAGAATTGATTGCTTGTTAGTTTGTAACCATTGCAATCTTAAATATGTATTATTTGTTCTTATACGCCTGCATTCTTACCCTTGTAATTATTAAGAAATACAATTTATTGTTATTGACAAGGGCTGGAGCGGTTGAATAATCTTGCCTTAAAACAAATTGCTGACACGTGGAATTTTATAAGCTCATGGTCTATACATGTCGCAAGAGTATAGTTACTGTACATGTACATTGTACATCAGTGTTTTCCAGAGCATTAAAAACCTCACACAATAAAGAAACTGTGCCTTAATTTTCATGTTCACTTTTTTTTTTAGATCTATATTTGTAAGTTATTCCATGTTGTGAGAAACTTTCATTTGTAAAGTTTTTTTTCTTGGAAACTGAAAGTGGTTCAAATATTAAAGTGTTTCAGTATACCTTAAAGGGAATATACATCATTTGCTTTTGCTGTAATTTTCAGAAATGGATGGAATTGGGGGGTTGGAAATATAAAGCAAATATAGTTACACTGACTTTTTGGAGGTTTTGGGTTCGAAAATGCTATAAAAACCAAGAAAAACGATCATTTTCCTGTAGTCTGGTTCCCTGACTCCATATAAGAAGAAACAGAGCAGTTTACATACATTGGGGAATTGTAAGGTCAGGGAACCAGTCTAGCTGGCTCGTACCCGCTCATAGGTTTGTAATCGATTGCAAACAAGTGCAATGGTTAATTGGGGCCAGTATTTGAAAAAAAAAGCCAGTTGTTTCCAACGCTGATCGGCCGATCAGCGTTGGAAATTGATACAAAAATACCACTTTTCTTGAAAATGACAGTATACCAGGTGCCATAATTTTACAGAATGCTTTAGACTGTCATTTACCAACATCCTGTTAAGGTATTTCGCAAAAACTTGGTAGTTTTATTTTTCGATGTTTGCAAATGTTGTATATTCCCTTTAATGTTTAACTAAATGCAGCTGAAAGTATGTAATTGTGATTTCATGAATAAAGTGTTTCCCAGAATTTCAGTCAAGAAAAGAGACGACTTGATTCTTTATACATGTTTGTATTTGTTTTCAGGTTCATGTCATGCATGTCCACTTTCCTACTTAAGATAAAGCCAAAAATGTAGTTTATTTTGCGAATTTGTACTCCCCCACCCCTCCCAATAAATCCCCACAATGATTAAGAAATAGTTATTGCATTGCCAGCATAAACACTTAGTAGGACCCCCCCCCCCAAAAAAAACCCCGACGAAGTCTTATTTTTAATGCGTTTACATGAAACATCGTTTTACTTCCCTGTTTCGAAAAGACACGCAACCAGTTTATTATAGTCGGGTGCCTTTACTCCGCGTTTACTTATTGTGATCCCGTGTACGTGTGGAGCAGGGCACGAAACCGCCACGCACGTTCTTTCAGAGCGGTGTTATTTTCGTGACCTGGGCACTCGGAATAGACATCCTTTTTGAGTGATCCTGACTACCTCGGATACTCAAGAGAACCAAAGTTATAAAATAAAGGTAGCTTAATAATGTCGCTTTTCATCAAATTGTCAAAACATTCTGCCCAACTTCGTTTAGTATAGAAAAAAGGACGATTTTCACCGACCGTAAATTCACCACAACAACGGTCATATTTCCTTCCCCATATTTCACAAAATAGTTGCTTAAAACTTAATTATTATCATTTAACAATTAAACTATACCCTTGTCAATCTCTATTTCAAATAAAATCCTACTTTTAAAGACACGTTAAGCGGAAAATGAATTTCGAAGATTGGATCTCCTATCTCATGAATATTCATATTTCCAGTGTGTTCGTGCATACGCTGCAAATAAACGAAAGCACTTTCGGGCATGCTGCGCGCTGACTGAAATGTTCAAAATTTGTACCAGCGTGAACTCTTTGAGTGTCACCCAAAAATAGTTGAACTCTGCTGTTCAGTTTAGATAAGGCCAAACAAGTAAAAATACTCGGGTCTCTGGTCAGACCAAAGTTCCGGAATTGATGCGGCGATGTGGCTTTTTTTTTTTTTTTTTTTTTTTTTTCCAAGCTTGGATTGTACAGACAAGGTGGGGTACTATTTTGCTTTTTTTGGTGTCCTCATGTACATTGGTGTCTTCCATAATTTGCCTTGGTGCCCTCGATCATTTGCCTTGGTGCAATTTCCCATTCCTTGGTGCTCTTTGGTAAAAAAAATTGTTGGAGCTACCGCGGAACATTTTGGAAAAAGTAACTATTTTTTTTTTGGCCTAAGCCAATAGTTGTTTGAACTCTGGGGATAAATTGAGATGGTTTTCTAACAGTCGTTTGAGACCTCCAGGCCTTGCCCCCTTTCAATGAGGCCAACTGTCCAGGTTTCATAACTACCCCATTGTGCAAGTGGCCTCAAACTCAAAGGACTCTGTAGTTCCTTGCTCCATGATATAACCATAGAGGTAGCTCCCATGATCTGTGTCAGTATGGGCGTTTGAAAGGGGATGGGAATGACGGGAGATGTGGTATGGTTGTGCAAGGATCGTGTGTTCACAGTTCATGACTCTTGTTGTGTAAGGCCAGTAAGTGACTCATGAATGAAAGATGTACCAGTACATAAACCATAGTGACATTCACCTGTTGTGTAAGAGTGGTACATGCACAGGTCGGGGACATCAACGCAGTGCTGGAACGGTTTCTTAATCTTTGATCATTACCTGACCTCAAAGGGCAGCGTTGTGATACAAGAGTTCATAGGGTCATCACATCATTGTGCGAATGGAGGGGGGGGGGTGTTCTGTTCAGATTTTAGACTCTAGAGTCTGAAATCAGACCTTGCGAATGAGTCTGAAATCAGACCTTGCGAACATGGAAACTTCACATAACTTCACAAAGAAAGACAATTTAATTTAAGAATTTCATCTTGTCTAGTTTTGAGACTGTTTTTTCCAATAAATCGACATTCAGATCCCTAGATGATAAATGTTCAATATACTTTCCCGAGTGAAAAGCAGACATTTAAGGCCAAAAAAAAAAAAAAAAAATACAGTCTGCTTCCGATTACATTACATGGCATTTGAAAATAAGGTAGACCTTGTAGGTAGGGATTTTTTTGTTTTGGCCACTATTTTGTGTGTGTACGATCATATGGAGGCGTCTACGTGTAGTCAAGGGTAAAAGGTAGAAATTAATGGGTTTGGGTGTTTTTTCCTCATTTTTTGCATTAAAAAATTAGGGTAGGGGCTGTCAGAATAGGGAAACCGGAAGAAAAACTCTTTTTTTTGGCCTAATGCCTCACATAATTATATTAATGGGTTTCAGTTCAAATTTCAATAGAATGCTTTGCAGGCTTTGACCTGAGAGTGACAGTGGCATTTTTCTTGTTTTCCATAGCCACTTTAAAATTGTATGTTATTTAAAATATTTTAATTAGCCAATGAAGTGTAGGCCCCATCAACTAGCAGGCTGCTAAATTTGTTCTCCTGGTGTCTGGTGAAGTGTTGTACACAACATGGGCACGGAGTCGATCATGCGTGAATGACAGTTACACAAGCTTAGAGTAGAGCTGATGAATATTCATGTTATGGACATGCAAAATGTTCCAATGAAGTAGGCCGGATCAACAGCAGCTGTCCTTTTCATGGTGTCTGGCGAAGTGTTACACAACAATATGGGCATAGAGTCTATCATGCGTGAATGACAGTTACGCAAGCGTAAAATAGAAATGAATATTGATGTGCAACTGCTGAATATTCATGAATATTGACATATATGTAAAATGTTTGCCAATGGTAGGCCGGATCAACAACAGGCTGCTCTTTTTTGCCTGGTGTCTGGTGTAGCACAGAGCTACATGTATGATGTACCATAGGATGCACATGGGCATAGAGTCCATCGTGCATGAATGACAGTTACACAAGCTTAAAATAGAACTGATGAATATTCATGCCGTTGACATACAAAGTGTGACCCGGTAAAGTACGGTAGGGAGGTTCCTGTCTAGATCTAAAGCATGTGTCTCTTGTTTAATGTTGTGGCTGTCTGATGAAGAGTACAGGCACACCGTACAGCATGCATTATGCAAGAATGACTGTTACACAAGCCCAGTGCATTATGAAAGGAGTTGGTGTTTTTTTTTTTTCTTCAAGGGACAACGGCTGCATTATGTAGGTTATGTTCAGCGTGCTCAGTAATAACTGGGTCAAAGTATGTTTATGTTATGTGGAAGGAGAAGAAGGCTAAATGTACATTATTGTAGGCCTACAATGTATTTAGAAGACGGGACACATACATGTACTATTACAAATATTTCACTGAAAAGGTTAAGATCCCCTACAGCACAGTAAAATGTTAACCACTAAAAAAAATTGGGAAAGCGAACACTTTTTCTCTTCCGGACAATAGGCCTAAATGGTTTGGGCATCGAAGTTAATTTTGTGTACAATACTTACGTTGTTTGTGTTTTAGTCAAATCGTGGAGCAAGGAAAGAAAATGTCGTTTCTTCACTCAAGCTTGGTTTCTTATTCTTTGTAAGAATGTAAGCTTGTCCATTTGTGGTAACGTTACATAAATCATGAATTCAGCTGGTAAAATGGACAAGTTTGTTACTTTTTTTTTTTTTGTAGCTCTACACGTAGATTAATGACCTATGGTAGGAGATCAGGCTGGCTTAGATAGTTAGAAAGTGGCTCGTACTCCATTGTAGCAAAGAAATGCCCTCCCTTACCCTAAATCAAGGCCATTTTTTTTTTACACGTAGTGGGTGTTACTTAACCTCAGAAAAAAGTGGGTTAGGCCAAAAAAAAAAGTCTCCGGTTTCTGGTATGTGCGCGCGTCGCTGTAGCCGTGCACGTCGGCAAAATGAAAAAGTTTTTTTTTTTCAATGAAAGATGATGTCTCAAAACCGCCAAACTCACTGGTTTGACTTGAATCCTGCTGCTGCACAATTTTAACGTGTTTTTAGATTGGGTTATGGTCGAGAATAAGCTTTATGTGGCCTCTCTGGGCTCCCATTATATTTGCACTAAGTTTAGTCGGGCACCATTTGCAGTCATCAGCCGACATTTGAAGCAAAAAAATCAGGTTAAAAAAAAAAAAGCCGCGTCGCCGCACCACTTTTTGGGCAAGCTCCATACCAGAAACCGGAGACTTTTGGGGGGGGGGGGGGCTTAGCTGGAACCTGCATTTTCTTGGTTTGAACTTTTTTGATGGGTCAGGATTCGATACATGTATTATCAATCATGATTATAAAATACTACTGGGAAATAGGTTGATTGCAACATGATTGCACTATCTGGGCCATGCGTCTGGCTTGCTGAAAGTTGATTGTTGGTGTCCCCTTGGGAATTAAAGCGCCCATGAAATGTAATTTTTTTCATGCTATCCTTGAAAATGCACCTTTGTGTCCCATTTAACCAAATGTTCAATTTTCATTTTGCCATTTTGAAGAATGAAGGGCAGTTTGTTACCTCTTTGGTTTTTATGCTTATGCGAATTTTCATATTCATGAGCAAAAGTGTCATGTCATTTCAGGCAGAAACCTCAGCTACCGGGATATTTCAGCACCAAAATTTGCCAGAATGTTTGACACTGTAGGGCCTAATCCTGTAGTAAACTTGTTTTTTTTCTGTGGTGATTCGTTGTCGTTTCAGTACATGGCAGTAAGCCAATTCTAGCAAAGTTTTCTCACAAATGTTTTTAATGAGAATATTTTGGGTTCCCAATTTGAGCAGAAAACCCCTAAATTGAACAGTGTCTTCCTGAAATGGCATCATACATATGTAGCAACAGCGCCATTATTTGTCAGGAAAGCATTGAAATGTCTCAATGTTTTGCTCATGAATGTCTTTGCGCATTCACGAGGCAAATGTGCGCAGCACGTTTCATGCATCGTGACACTGCTGTAGACTATAACAACTGAAGTCTTATAATATTATCTTGTATATTTTCTTAAGAAATGACTGAATACATATGGTCTCTGAATTGTGGCTTCTGACTCATAAAAAAAGTTCTCACCAAGCATGGAAATGTTTTAATGTTTTTAAAAAAGTGCACTTTTCAATAAAATTAACCAAAAAGGGATGTCAGAGATCTTCGTACATTTAAGGGGAGTAGACACCTACACAAAATATGTTCCTAAAATTAGATTCATGTCTTGAGCCCTTTAAAGTTAAAAAAAAATGCCTTGCCCCGATGATGTTGACGCTATGTTAACCCTTGCTCTACTTAATCCTCCAAATCACGTTACAGTATTTGAAAAACGTGACTGGCCCATTTTTTTTGCACAGCCCTCCAATATCTGCCACTGTACTTTGGGAATGAATCACAGTACACTGCTAGAACTGCTAAAGAGTATTGACAGAAAGCTTAGCATGCACAACCAAAAGTGCAAGGGTTAAGGAATCTGGATTCTGGAAATGTATTTTATAATAAAGGACCGGGTAACTTCAAATCTGGAGGAAAATTGGAACACCGATCAAATTGATTGCCTCAGAGGACGATGATATATGAACAGTTTGACACTAGATATTTAAAAAACGATTTCATCATATTTGTCAAAACAATATCAAAAAAAAGAAAAAAAGAAGCCTAGCAGAGCTGGTCCCCGAGTGCGCCAAATTCTATTCAATTGATTCAGAGTGGCTAAGAAAGTACGTAGAGTAAGTTGTACTGGTAGCAGGATGATAAAGAAAAATCCACTTTTGCCGTTATCATGGAGCCTTGACTTATTGCCAAGCATGCCAAGTGGAGCCAGACTAATGCATTTACCGGTACATGTTGAATGCTTAAAAAACAAATTGCAACATGTGGGGCCTTCTCGTTTTCTGTCTGTAATGGCAATGTTTTCACTTGTCCTCACAGTACCCCACGACCACTATGTGCTGAGCAACAGGTCTCACGTGAACATGGGACTAAAGCAATACGAGGAAGCACTTGAAGATGCGGAAGCAGTGTGTGAACTCAGGCCCGATTGGTCCAAGGTGAGATACTCAGTATGAGTGTTTTATTCGTAATGAGGCTAAAGTTTGCATTTGAACTGGTCTGGGTTTCATGATACGTTGTAGTCAAGTCCTCACAAGACTTGGTAAGTCAAGTCGCAAGTCAATCACAAGTTCCTACTAGTCAATCACAAGTCACTCACAAGTCAGTCACAGAGCAATCACAAGTCAGTCACAAAGCAATCACGAGTCGATCACAAGTCCATCAAAAGTCAATCACAAGTCCATCACAAAGCAATCACATGACAATCACAAGTCAGTCACAAAGTAATCACAAGTCAATTACAGGTCTATCACAGGTCAATCACAAGGCAATCATAAGTCAATCCCAAGTCAATCACAAGTCAATTACAAGTCTATCCCAAGGCAATCATAAGGCAATCACAATTAAGTCAGTCACAAGTCAATTACAGGTCAATCACAAGGCAATCACATGTCAATCACAGGTCAATCACAAGTCAATCACAAGTCAATCACAAGTCAATCACAAGTCAATCGCAAGGCAATCGCAAGTCATCACAAGTCAAACACACAATTCATCCCGTCTCACATCCATTATCAAACTATGCATTACTCCGTCTAACATGTATATTCATCCAATGGGACTTGCGACACAAGTCACAGTCATGTGACTGGCTTGTATTGGATTTGACTTCACTTCAGCCTATGACCTCAATAAACTGGGGTAAAAAAAAGTCTGTGTAAAAAGGCACCAGCTTTCCACACCCGTGGCCGTGTATATATGTACATGCACCTCTTGTGAGCATTTCATTCAAATTTGCCAGTACACAAGGACAAAACAAGCAAACGAATGAAAAAACAGATACACGCCACCCCCCTTTTTGTATCTTATCAATTATTAGAGGCTCATTTCAAAGTTTGTCTTACATATTTACATTGTAGGGTTATTATCGGAAAGGCATGGCTTTGACTGGCCTCCAACAGCAAGAGGAGGCCATGGTGGCGTTTCTGCAGAGCTTGGCCCTCGACCCCTTCTCCACGTCATCCAGAAAATGCCTCGAAGAGGTAATTTCTCCCGATACATTAAAGATAACTCTGTCTCAAACCAATATGATTCATTAGGTCTGTGTTCGTTTTTGGATTCCTTGGCATGAAAAAAAAAATACATGTAGAATGTTTCTGTTCCTTGCTGGATGGGACAGGTACTCCCCAGCTAATACTGCTACCCTCTTGTACTTGGTTGTGGCAAAAAGGCAAAAAGTGGAATTATGGCAAACAATTAGAAGGGATTGTGCCAGTTTATTTCGTCCAACTAGTTCAATTATAATGATATTAACCCTCCTGCTGTCTGAACTGTCATAGACAGTAAAAAAGAAAAAAAGAAAAAAAGGCCTCTTCCCCTGCCATGCCTTTTACACAGGCTAGTCACCAACAGTCAGATATATCAAGCAAACACTGTGACTAGTTAAATTCAGTCAATCGACAAAAAACAGGCAAGTGGTAGGCACAGCTGGCTTATCAATCACCTTCAGTCAAAGCATAGCCGTATGGAGTTACATTAACAGTCACAGCCAGTCGATCCTGCTTCATGTAGGCTGGGAGCTCTGAACTGTTAAAAAACAGTCACTTGATTAATATTCACTAACGGAACAACTTTGCACAGAATGTACAGGTACATATATGTTTGCATAGGAGGGTTAATAATGAGCTAATAGAACCTCTTTTAGAAATGTCCCTATAAAACACTTCACAGTTATTATGAGATCAGCTCAATCATCTTTTTACTTGAAAGGTACCCATCTTCATGTACACTTTGATTTTGAGATCTGTTATTTCAGTAAAGTCTCTTGCCCAAGAACACACTCATCACAAACTCGCTTACTGCCGTGCACGAGTTTAGGCCAAGGCGTTTTTTCTAAACCTATTTCACGCTCTGCTTTGTCCTCTCTTGAAAACAGTATATAATTAATCATATAACTCACTAATCATTTTTTTATTTCATCCTTTCATCTTCCTGTCCTTCCATCCACCTCAGGTCCTGCACGATCTTCTCTCTCCCGTCCAGCCTGCAACCATCAAGTGCCTAGAGCTGCAGCGAGGGTTCCCCAGGCCCCTTAGGCCCGGGGCGGCCTCAGCAGCGGCGGCGGGGTCAGGCGGGATGTTTGCCAGGGGGATCTCAGACTTGGCAGAGGAGGTGGCGCTGGGACTCAAAGCCGTCAACCAGCTGTTGGCGGACAAGGATGCCGAGGTATGTTCAAGCGCGGAACATAGTTTGCCATAGTTTGTTGAACTTGACCCAAATACATAATCCTTTGATTACTCTAGCCTGCTACTTGTTGGAAACATTCCCAGTGGCGTAAGAACATTGTCATTTTTTTTTTGAACAGGAAAATGAAGAAACCTCTTCAGATGGCGAGAATAAGGAAGGTGCAGAAACGGCCTCCAAGTCAGACAAGGAAGTCAAACGGTCATCCGAGGACGCGCCCACAGCCTCAGCCAAGGCCACGCCCACTTTGGAAGCCGGGACCACAAAAGTTTCCACACCTACATCAGAGGCCACGTCTACATCAGAAGCCAGGCCCACATCAGAAGCCTCGCCCACATTGGAAACAACGACCACAGCCAAGCCCCCTTCAGCATCAGAAACCACGTCCACACCTGGATCTACGCCAGCATCAGAGGACACGCCCACACTGGGAACATCAGAAGCCACACCCACATTGGAAGCAGTGACACGAGCTGGATCCAACCCACCTTCGGAAGCCACGCCCACTTCTGAATCTGCACCCACATCAGAGGCTGAGCCTGCATCAGAAACCACACCCACAATGAAAGCTGCGCCCACACCAAGGGCCACGCCCGCTCCCGAATCCCCGCCCCCTAGGAAAGCACAAGCAACGGAGTGCTTGCGGAGTCGAGGAGAAATGTCGACTTCGGAGTTCCTGACGATGCGCAAACGCAAGCGCTGCATGTCAAGCAGCAGCGATGCCATCCTTAGTCCCACCAGAAGAGTAGAATTCAAGTTTGCCCGTGAGTGTTATCAAAAATACCTGCCCAATGTATGTATGCCCCAAGTCTGAAAAGCTTTGCAGGCATGATGGTACTAGGCACAGAAATAGATTATTTGCAAATATTTACTTGTGCAGTCTGTCGTTTGTATCTTGTTTTAACCCTGAAAATGACGATGTTACTAAAGAAAAAAAATGTAAAAAACAATAAGCCAGCTCGGTATTCCAAAATAGTCTGGTGCACAGCAAGATTCAACAATTTTTTTCCCGGGATAACTGCGGCAGATAAATGCACACAAGGCTATGGGGGACGTGGTAACCCTGCATTCTGTGAAATTTTTGGTGCAATTGAAAAGAGATGGAACTTTTGTAAAATGTATACTTCAGACCACGATGATCTCTTCAATTTTGCTGGTACCCGCTATGCTTTTGCACCCATACGACAAAATTTTAATCCCGAAAGAAAAATCAGCAAATCTTGATGTGAACCTGTGCAGTTGGAATACAGAACTCGCTTATTGTCCTATTACCAATTTTTGCCATTTCTGAAGATTGAAAAAAACATGTTCGCCACGTTCTCAATTTTATGCTTGGAATTGAATTATTACAGCTGATCCATCGGGAATGCTAATAAGTATTTTGAACAAATTTTAAAATTGCAGTGAGTTGTCTTTTTCATTAAATTACAAATTGATTAAAAATACAGTTTGCTGCAATATTTTTAAAAAAATCTATCTTCAAAAAGACCACAAATCGTGCAAAAAAAATATTGGATAATGCAAAATGGACTCTGATTTTTTTAAATAACCTATTTTTTTTTCTGTGGTCATTTTTCAACAGGTGTGGACTTGATAAGGAAAGCACGGACAGTCCCTAGGGAAAAAGTGGACAAGGAGGACTATGAGTGCAGTCTATGTTATAGGTGGGTTGAAACAGATTTGAAACAAATGAATTGGCCAATTTTCAAAAAGTTAGTCTTAATAAAGTTGTTTGCCCCATGTTAATTACGAGTTGCACCCTGAAAATAGATTTTTTGTTTTTAAATTTTGATTTTTTTAGTTATGTAACAGTTACTTGTGAATGAGACATTGAACAAACAAAAAATAGTAATGGAATAAATTACTTTACAAATGTAGAATTATTTGCGTTCAATAATAATTCAGGCGTATCTTTAATGTGTTATGGGTGCAAAGCGACCCAAAATAAAAGCATGAGTTTTAAAACATCAAAAATAGGGGGTGGGGGGGGGGGGCTGGGGGTTCTGTTTAAGTAAAACGTATACATGTACATTGAAAATCATTAGGAGAAACAAATCAAATGTGTCAAAGAGCACGGGTTGACAACTTTTAAGTGAGACCACATTTCTTCGTTGTTCCTCTGAGAGTTTGTTTCAGCAGTATCAATGCCATGGCTTGGAAGTAACACAGGTTCTTAATTGAGCTGTCAAATTCCTGTTATTTCACTAAACCACGTTTCTGTTCACCTTAACAGGTTATTTTTGGAGCCGTTGACGACACCCTGCGGCCACACCTTCTGCAAACTGTGCCTGAACCGGTCTCTAGACTACAACAACTCATGCCCGCTGTGCAAGGACTCGCTGGCAGAGGTGAGTCCAGTTGTTGTATCAGACACGTGCGTGGCCCGCTGAGGGCAGCACACTCGGTAGAGAGTTGTACAGTCCGTCAAAGTCAAATCACAAGTCCAGTTAAAGGGAAAATACAACATTTGCAAACATCAAAAAATAAAACTACCAAATCATTTTGAAATACCTTGCTGGACTGTTAGTGAATGACAGTGTAAAGCATCCTGTAAAATCATGGCACCTGGTATACTGTCATTTTCAAGAAAAGTGGTATTTTTGTATCAATTTCCAACGCTGATCGGCCGATCAGCGTTGGAAACAACTGGCTTTTCTCCAAATACTGGCCCCAGTTGACCATCGCACTTGTTTGCAATCGATTACACACCTGTGAACGGGTACAAGCCAGCTAGACTGGTTCCCTGACCTTACAATTCCCCAATGTATGTAAACTGCTCTGTTTCTTCTTAAATGGAGTCAGGGAACCAGACTACAGGAAAATGATTGTATTTCTTGGTTTTTATAGCATTTTTGAACCCAAAACCTCAAAAAAGTCAGTGTAACTATATTTGCTATATATTTCCAACCCCCCAATTCCATCCATTTCTGAAAATTACAGCAAAAGCAAATGATGTATATTCCCTTAAGTAACAAGAAGCAGGGACCAAACCTTGACCTTGGCAGAAAAAATATGCTAATTATTGCAACTTTTTTTTCTGATATCTTTTCAGTATCTGGCTCAGCGCAACAACTCAGTCTCGGAGGTGGTGCTGTTCCTCCTGCAGGAGTACCTGGGGGAGGAGTACCGGGAGAGGGAAGAGCAGCACAAAAGGGAGATGGAGGCAATGGCAAGGTGAGAGAAATCATTCATGCAGCTGCCGTTCCTCCCTCTGAATTATCAATGGACAGTGATATCACAGAGCGAAAATGAAACTTTTTGAACTGTGTCTTTCTGGCATGTTTCTGAGTCCATTGTTTTGGTGAAATATTTTTTAACAAAAATTGATTTTTTTTTTATGCTCGTATTCAGTTCCCATTTTGCTGAAGGAAAATCAATGCTTTATACCGGACCCCTAGGCCCTTTTGGCTAGGAACCATCCTCAATTCTGCCAACAACAAGTGGTATTGTTTTCTGGATGTGCAAGTTACAATCCTGCTCTAGACCATTTTCGAATCGTCGATACTTCACCCGGTAACTTTAAAAGCAATTTTTTTGTATGGCAGGTTTGTGCAAGACCAGTCGCAGTGCGAAGTGCCAATCTTCGTCTGCACCTTGGCGTTTCCCACAATCCCCTGCCCGCTGCACATCTTCGAGCCTCGCTACCGGCTGATGGTTCGGCAGACGATGGATTCAGGGGCCCGGCAGTTCGGCATGTGCTTACCGGACGACACCAACCAAGGGTAGGTTTTTTTATTGTATGTTTGTTGTTGAGTTGTGAAATTCTACCCCACAATAGTGTGGAAATATATCGAGTGGTCAAAAAGAAAGACAGAAAAAAACACTATTTCAGATGCAGATTTCTTGGCATTGGGGAGACACGTGAACATTGATTTTAAGATATTCCTTAAAGCTACAGTCCATCATTTGCACCTATTCAAAAAGTAACTGACGTGAGTAGTGTTGGAAAACATACTTGGTTGAAAGATAGTAAGGGGACTAAACTCCCTGTGAAAATTGTCTTTCAGGCAAGCTGTCATTTTGAAAAAAATCAACGAAAGAAGGCCTTTTCAACGGTGCGTCTAAAGATGCACCGTTGGAAATTTCCATTAGTAGTTTTGTTTTTTTTATTCGGCGAAGCGCGTGCAAGCGTTTACACGCGTGGTTGCTTTGATTCTTCGGATCAGTACGTGATATCACGTAGCTGCAATCGGCTCAGTGACTCGGACGTGTCGGACGTTGAATTCAGGCCCAATTCAAAACATGGTTCAGCAACTTTTGATTTGAAATAGAGATTCTAGAATGTTCTTTTTCTCGAGATATACAGCTGAAGCTGAGCTGAAACTTCATCAGGTTACTTGTTCAGCACCCTTCTTTAGATTTAGAGCATGTTTGTTGCTGCAAACGAACAAAATGCACAAATCGCAAATGATGGACTGTACCTTTCACTACAGCATCTTGGTGGTTTATGGTGAAAACGCAGCTGAAAATAAAACCCAAATTTAAGAAGTCTGTTGTTTATTCCTGCTGTTTCAGGCATGAGGACATCGGCTGCATGTTGGAGATCCAGCAGGTGGAGAATCTACCCGACGGCCGGTCGGTCATCAAGACCGTCGGGGGTCGCCGCTTCAAGGTCCTGTCCAGGGGAATGCGGGACGGCTACAACACGAGCATGGTGGAGTTCATCAAAGATGTGGAAGTGACAGGTAGGAAGATAAATCACTCGAGAGGTGCGAGGCGAAACCAGGGGTGTCTCGTGAAGTGGTCCATGATGTTTTTTCGTACACCCACAGGATGCAAGGCAAAAACCAAGGCTGCTACGCAATCTTTGAGGGTGTAAAAACACATGGCCGATATCAAAGTAGTAAATGCTAAGGGAATAAATATATGCTTGGCCTGTTTTAAACAAGTTTGTTGAGGCCCTTGCGCTGATAATGGTCCTAACCAAAAGGTGAGGGATATTATCAGCGACTAGGCTCCAAGCTGCTTTTAAACTTGTTCAATACCGGCCAAGCACATATTCATTCCCATTCATAAATACCTTAGACAGTTTACCCATTCCCATTGGTCGAGAGCCCGTCACGTGGCCCGTTGTAAACGAATGATAAAGACATGGCTGGCTGGTCTTAAACACTTTTCCAGTGTCACATGAAATTTGGACTCCTGTGAAATCTAGTGCCTTTTACCGTTTTATTGGTTGAACGTTCACAGTCAGCTTCGCCTCGGGAAATTACCAGCTTGTCAGACTCCAACCAGTCTCAAACATAGTGTTAAACACCTCCAAAGCACACATGTATTCCCTTATAAATACCATTCAGTCAAAAAGTAAACAACTAAATGTTCTTTTATGAATTTCCAACGATTTTGTTCAACAATTTTACTTCATGTTTTTCGGAACACCACTCTAGCTACACATGTATGTTTATGCCATGCGCCTCTCACGAGCGGTTCTAAAAACTCCTTATATGGAGATTGGTGTGTGCATGGCACGTGCTGAGCGATTTGTTGCAGAACGCGGGGGTGTAGTGTAAATATAGAACTCTTTAAGATATGGGTTCATTGGTAGTATTGCGCATGCCTACGTTCAGATTGTGAAAGTTCAATCAGTAAAAACGACCAGATTTCATGGTTTTGAAGTGAAAAATAATTACGTCATTTTTTTTTCTTCTTCAAATTTCAGGTGATGACATTGCTGTAGTCCGAGCGCTGGAGACGGAGGTTTATCAGCAGGCCCAGACCTGGTTCAACTCACTGCCGATCATGCACCAGACCCGTATCATAGCCCACTTTGGCCCCACACCGGCAAGAGAAGAAGACCCTCTGGTAAGAGCACAGCCTAAAACAGGTCATCTGTAGTTCATCAATGTGTCCATTATCCTATTTTGTTGTTTTTTTCTATTCTATTTTAAACTTCTGTTTTGAAAAAAACAAATGCGTGTGAGTGGAGTGACGATAAAATCGCTCCAATGGGTTCGATTTTTGAGGGCCCATGTTTTGGCCTGGGAAAGGAATCAAAGTTTGTACACGCATACCACCATATTTGCAAAAATAAAAGCTGGCTTCGAGTCAGCCTCAGTCCTCCAAAATCATTCGTTACTCCTTGAATTTGTTCGTTGGCGGGGTGCACGCCATTGCCTCAATCCTTCAAAATCCTCCAACAATCACTGTGAATGGGTTGAGGCAGTGCCGATGACATTCAGAAGCAGTGCGGATGTTATCAAGCATAATGCAGGGCTCAATTATGTATGGCCGATCATAAACAATGCAGGGTACAGCCTATGAACTCGACACAATGCATCCTCCAAAATCAACCCACACTGTTTTGCCAATCAGCCTCAATCCTCCAAAATCATCCAAAAATGCCTCAACAGACTGAGAACTGGAGGTGGCAGAGCCAAGGTGACACTCAACAAGTGGGGATATAGTTCCTCCAATGATACCATGTGTGATTGTGGCGTAGAGCCACAAACTATGGAGCACCTTTTGAGATGCCCTCTTCCACAACACCCTTGCACAGCTGCCGATCTTGCATTGTACAATGAAGATGCAGAGAAATGTGTTCGGCGTTGGCTGAACCGAATTTAGCTTTGTGACGTGGACTCGATAAGAAGAAGATCCAAAAACCAACAAAGGATTTTGGAGGATTTTGGAAGATTTGGGTGAATGGGTTGGTTACATGTACATACTCTTATTTTGGTAATTGAGACTATTGTTTCTTCTCCTCCCCCCTCCTCTCCCTAGGCCTGCCCCCAGGGCCCGTCCTGGACCTGGTGGCTGCTCGCCATCCTCCCATTCAACAAGCGTATTCAGCTGGGCATCCTGGCCATGCCAAGCCTGAAGGACCGCCTCAACGCCCTGCAGCGGTGCCTCGCCCGCATATCCGGCTACCAGTTCTGACTAAAAGGAGGCAGCGGCGTAGAATGGTCTCGACTTGAAGATAGCGTCTCTGTTGCTTGGAGATGAAACTATGATCAGATATTTCGAGTTTGCGTTTAGGAGTACTCTTATTATTCATCCCGGATAAGTTGCTGAAGGGGTGAAGTGCCGTGGTCCAGTGGTGATGGAGTTCAACTCATCATCATCATCAAGTCGACTCTCGTCGGACTGCAACAAAAGCATACCACACATCACGGTCTCCCATGGCCGTCCTGATCTCGGCTGCGGAGGCAAGTCCAGTATCACGACGCGGCTGGTCCACGTAGGTTAGCGTCTGCCCACCTCGAGAGGCTACTCCATGAGTGGGTTCCCATAAGATGAGTTGGCTTGCAGCTATCTCTGGATGCCGAACGCAGTGACCAGCCAATCGCAGGCGCCTAAGTCTGATAGTTGCAGAGATCCTTGGCAGGTTGCCATAGAGCACCTCATTCCTGACTTTGTCTCTCCAACTCACGTCTAGAGCCATCCTAAGCATGCGAGTGTAGCAGCCATCAAGTCGAGGCTCTTGCTTTGTAGTAAGGGTTCATGCCTCAGAGCTGGAGTTCAACTCATGTGCCATGGAACATGGGTTCAAATCCTGACAGGGAAACGTGCTGCTTGTGTCCTCAGGCAAGACACTTAACCTCAATTGCCAGTCTCTCCACACACGTAGAGAGGCGAGATTGTGCTGATCTTGGCTGCAGAAAAAAAAATTGGTCTCGTGGGTTTTAACTGTTTCTATATTGGTCTGAACAAAGGTAAACTATGATCTACGAGGATTTTTGGGCAGTATTTGTTTTTTACCTGTTTGTAAAAATGGAACAAGTGGGAAGTGAGAAAGTGAATTTTATTGAATTTTTTCTCATCATTCTCAGTGCCTTTCATTGCAAATTGTTTTCACTTGCGAAACTACGACACCCATACTGTAATTCGGGCGATACACAATACAGTGCGCCACCAAGCGTTTGCCATGGACGGTCCATTTTTACAAGTTTACGTTCGACAAAACGCGGCCCATTTGAATGAGTGTCAGTATACAACTTGAACTAATTTGTAAGTGATTGGGGCATACCATTCTGCCGCCTTACAAAAAAATCACCATAAAAAGAAAAGAAAACAGTAGACACACGGTATACCTGACACATTCGCTTTCGAAACTACTGACTGGAATAACTAACAATTTCAAATGTCCCGCGCTGTGAATTCGTCGACCATCTCCCACAATGCAGTGGGAAAACTGAACTCTCTGTGGCAATCTCTTGTCGGCGCACTGCATTGTGATTCAGCCGAACTATAATTTTTGTAAAACTAGTCTCATGTGCGCGCGATATATTGTGGAACCAAAAGCCGATGGTATTCAACAAAAATGTCAATACTTTTGGGGTCACATTTCAATCGCTGCTTGTAAACGCTTTTTTTTTCTTTTTTGGTGTGAATTGTACATGCGATATTTTTAATTATACCAAAGCTAATATTTTGTCATGACTTTTTTCATAAATGCTCTATGATATTTTTTTTTCTAATAACAAATCTATAGGAATTAACATTTTTTTATTCTGTTTTTTTTTTTATTTCTGTTTTGATTTTCTTTCTTTTGGTTTATTTTGTGTTCTTAATGTTGTGTGTGTGCTCAGAGGGATATTTCTCGTAAAATTTCTTAAAAAAAATAGTGATATACTTATTTAGACCCATATAAAGAATGCGCACAAAAATTTCACTGATTTGTACATTTTGTGTAAAGGGAGCCACAATTACAGTCCTTTTCTATTGTTTACATCATATTGAACATGCACACATTAGCTTAAACATGACATTAACAGTGGTACTATGTATACAACATATACAATGTATACAACGTATACAATGTATACAATGTATACAACGTACATGTACAGTAAATTTTAAACCAACCAAATGTTTGACACAATGGATAGTTGCCATTCACTAAAAAAAAATGCATAATTCGAACTTCCTGGAATGCGATCGAGTAAAAGGTGCTTCTTATAATTTGTAAATTCAATCATTTTGCTGATTTTGGCAAAATAAAACTAGAAAGCAGATCGGAAAATAAGTTCCGTGTAACCGATCGGGAAAACATTTAAAACAGATTTTTGGTTCATTTTGTACTCAAACTTGTAAACGCCACATCTACATCAGTCAGCCATGCTTATATCTAAATTTCTCGTTTTATTTAAGAGTAAAATTAGTAGAATTATTTGATATTGTTCACAAACTGTTTTTTATTCTATAAAGATGTTTGGATTTCCAGTATTACAGTTTTGTTCTGTATTTACACAGTTGTAAATAAGTATTTATTGTCTTTATTCACAAGTTATTACAAAAAAGAGAACAAAATGTACATAGATCAATTGTAGAAATTAATTTTTTAAAAACCCAACCAAATCAGTTGTCGATAGTAGTCTGTGCATTATGGGAAAGTCGGGTGTACATGTACGTGTAGAATAAGTGTAGTTTACAAGTTTGTAAATTAAAGATTTTGTTATCTCCAAAATTCATCATAGTTTGTGTATTTATGGCTCTTTCAGTATAGAAGTGGTATAATTTGTCAATAGAGACCCTTTCCAAAGATTTTTCTCGGGTAACCGTAGACTTAAACTTTTGTCCACGGCAACAAAACTGTACAAAAGATATGGTTGCATTTGTTTCTTACCTCTTGATTGATTAGTCTATCTTTAAAAAAAATGACATTTTTTGATCCGGTTTGAGTTTATTGAGAGGAAATTTTGACTCGGTTATAAAAATCAGTGTAGATATGAACATGTACAAAATATATAATTTGTTTGGTGACATCTTTACGTTTCATTATTGTCAAAGCAATATGACACGCTGGTTTCAGGTAATTTTAACTTAAAGGTACGTAGGAATGTAGAATGCAATGGTCCGGTGGTTACGGTGTTTGACTCATGTACGATGGTGCGTGGGTTCGAACCCTGCCAGGAACATGGTGTTTGTGCCCTTGGGCAAGACACTTAACTCCAATTGCCTCTCTCCACCCAGGAGTATAAATGGGTACCTGTGAGGGTCGAGGACCGATTGAGCGCCGATATCACCTGCCGCGAGGTCTCGTGGCCTGATGAACGGGGAATAATTGTAAAGCACTTTGAGATCTTTGATATGATGGAAAGCGCTATATAAGCATTTCAATTTTTTGTTAAATTTTATAAGCTAAAAGCTTTGTCCTTTTTGTTTTGTTTTTTCGAAGCAACAAAATTGCTCAAAATCTCAAGCAGAGTGCATAACAGATAACTGTCGAACTTTCAGCTCAATGGATACTATACTATTTTGTAAAAACAGAGAAACATTTGCACCATATTAGGCAGAACGATTTCACAGGTGATTTAGGACGAGCCCTGTCTTTACTTTGAGCATGGTTTTTCTCATCGAATCGGTAGATCTGTTTCCAAGGTAATGACTCGTGTTCCTACGTGCCTTTAAAATGGAGTTGAAAATGGCGACAATTTCTCTTCATAACGAGTTATGCATAAGATTGGTAAACCCATTATGTGGAGCCAGATGCTGCAGTACGTATGTAAAAAAAGAGTGCTTTTTAATTAAACATTAAGGCAAGGAATAACGGTCTAGAAAACGTGACTCATGAAAATGTACTAATTCGTTGGCATCCAGTATTCTTCAAGGTACAGAAAAAGACTTCTTCACTTCAACATCAAGTGTGACCCTCTGGCACAAAACCATGGACCAGTTTTTGAAAAGTGGGATGTTAGGCTCATTGGAAAAGACAATGAATAAGCTTTCCAATGTATAGAATATGGGAATCAGACAAAATCTGATGGAGTTTATAGGTATTTTCAGATCCCAATTTTCGGGCCTTGGAAAGTAAAAAAAAAATTGAGAAATTGGTCGTTACACTCAGTTTCACAAATGAACTCCTTAAGAACTTCACCAATTAACTGCACTGAAAGTATAATCATTCATTATTCTGAACGTTATTCTGAATTATTCTGAACGTGAACGTTGTAATTGAGAGATTTAAAGTGATTTATAGTACTCTCTCTCTTTAACTGCTGCAGCATTTCGAATCATTCCATTAAAAATAACTGGAGGTCTTTTATACAAAATACTGGCTGGACCAATTTGGCCCGATTGAAATACTAAAGTAAATTCACAACTCGATGGATTCTTTAGCGAGATGTTCTAAAAAATTGCGGGACAAAATATGAAAGATGAAGTGGAATTGCATGCGACTTTTGGATGAAAGAAACTAATTAAAATGGTAAAATAAACACCTCCTTTGAAAAGTAATGCCAGAAACGTCCTAACTGACAGAACTATGGACTAAAGGGTCATGGGTCTTATGTTGGCCAAAACTCAAAATTGAAGACTTTGTAGTTAAAATTCTTGTAGTGTGTATTGTAGGAAATAGAATCAGGAATAAGCTTTTCCAGTGTATTTTCCTGGGAGTTGGATGTCAGTTGTGGTTAAATTGAAAGGGAAATTTTGTACACGGAGTTAATGAGTTTGAATTTGAATTGCAACGTACAACATGTATGTTGAGTGGGTTCTACATTTGAATATTCACCTAGATTATGTCACACATAGTGTCACATGGGGGATATTAACATGCATATGCAAATACATGCATGCATATGTAAATGAATGCATATGCAAATGAGATGGTTCCAAAAGGGTTGTGTTCTACTATGGCTCATATCAAGTGAAGTATGAATTAGAATCTGTTGATGAAGGCCATTGGATATTAAGAGTGCTCTTCATTGTTATGGCCGTCCTTGGTATAACTTCAGAAGATGTAGAAATGTAGATCGTTTAGTCGGTGTACAGTATAGTAGAAGAGGATTTTTGTACTGTTAGATCTGTCAGCTAGCAGAGCCAGTATGGGATGATTTTCCGTACTCCATTTTAATATTCAGAATAAAGTATTGCTTCCACGAGAAATCCATTGTGTGACCTTGTGTGCTGTTTTGGCCCGAGTCTCCTTTGTGGTTTTTGCATCAAGATCAAGCAGTCATGTTATTGTTCCCACGGCGGTGACTGCTCTATGTTCCGACACCCCTATGTTCCGACAACCTAGATTGTGTTACTCCCGGTTGAGTCCGTGGTGTATGCAGGATTTTGCTGACAAGGCGGCTAAGCAGACTTCGTGCTGGAAGATGGCCAATTGGTTTTTTTTCTTGTTCCAAAAAATAAGGCTGCCTCAGTGCCCCCCCCCCCCCACCTCCCTTCTTGGACCTCTGTTAACCCACTTGGGATGTGCTGGGTGATTTTGGCCAAATCTCTTGGTCCGGTTAGGGGCCTCTTCTCCATTCATTCATTTTCATGATGACTTCATGAGTTGGGCCCAACTGTCCCTGTCGAGCATAGTGTTGGAAAGAGATGGACCACTCAGACCAGTTTCTAACTCGATGGACGTTTTCAGGATCATGTTGGGACGACCTTTTCGTCGAGTGGCATCAGGATTCCGGAGGAGAACTTGACTAGCTGGCTCATTATGTCGATAAACGTGACCGGCTAGCCGAAGGCGACGCTGTCTGATGGTGGTGGGGCACTATACAGAACAGAATTAGGGAGATGTTGCCAACAAACGTTCTGAACAGCCCGCAACATCCGTGTATAGATGCCATCAATGGATGCAGATATCTCTTTGGTAAGGGTCAAGGACTCGCAACCGTAGAGGGTAGCAGACCAGTAAATAAACTTCCATAGACCCCAATGGTAAATGCTCCCACTCAAAAATTCGGGAAAAATACTCACAACTCTCCAAGGTGTTCGAGACGCACATCAAATTAAAGCTTATTTCATCATCTTTCATTTTCTTTTCAATTTTCGGGGGGTCAACTGATGACTTTTTGGAGAAATTTCCATCTGAAGATGATCACCCCTGAAAATAGTCCTGAAGCCCATCGCCATTTTGAAAAACGATGCCTACACTCCATTGCAAAATAGAGCGCTTTTAGGGTCCAAATTACATCAAAATTACACAGAACTGCAAGCTCCCAGTCCTGTGCACGGCTTCCACCCATATTTTTTACAAACCCTCAAGTTCATGGCCCAAAGCATGCCCAAATACCGAAGATTTTGAGGGCATGCAAATCGTGATTTGGCCGGCGCAGGCAATTTCGGACCGATTTACTGGTCTGCACCCAGAGGATGGATTCTACGGAGGTCTAGTCTGTGGAATATCCCCTTGGCAAGGGTCCATGATATGCGAGCAGATTTGGCAATTAATTATGCAACTAGACTGCGTCTTGACCTCGAGATTCTGACCATTCAGCAGGCGCCTTCTAAATCGGGTCTTCGGCAACCCGTTTTGAAACCCAATGTAGGGTTTTAATAGATCTCTAGTATGCCCGTTGTATAACAAACACATATGGCATCCAAATTGGCCAACCAACAGCTTAGTCTAGATTTTGGAATGAATGACATCATGTCGACTCCCATTGGCTGGCGCGCGTGGTCGCATAAACTTGCATGCTTAGATAATTATATCGGACGTTGGACCGGTGACAGAGAGGCTTGGTTTGACAACGAATCAGTCTCAGACTAATACTGGGCCCAGGAGTCAACAAGGAGGCCGGGCCCCTCAGCTCACGGTACGGTAAAAAAGTTCAAGTGATTGCCTATACATGTACCAACTAAATCATAAATTTCATGCTATCAATTTCTCTTTTAATCCCGAGTTGTGGGGCATCTTCCCATTTTCATCTCCCATTTTCCCGTACAAATACTTCATTAAAAACATTCAAGTATCAAGGCCCCAAATTATGGAATTCCCTTCATACAAACTTGCACAATGCCAAAACTCTTTGTCTCTTCAAAAACAAATTTAAAGATTCTAAAATCAGTTCTTTTTGTTTAATTTAACCTTATGTACTAATTATGAAACTTACATTTTTCTTATGCCAAGCTGCTTAATCCTGTTTGCTATTGCTACACATATATATAGTTCTTTTGTTATATTTGTTAGTTTGATTTCATGTTCTCATTAAATACTTCCACTGATGACACAACTTATTTATGTATTTTTGTCCCTGTAACTGTTATTGTTTTGTTTGTTATATTTCGTCTAACTTATCCAATTTAACTTGAGCTGTGCACAATCAAATAAGTCTCTTTATTTTCCAAACTTTGTTGTCCAGGGGTCCCGTACTCGACAAGCTCTGCTTCCTATGGGTCCCCTCCAGTTCACTGTCCTTATGTGTTTAGTATTTGTATTTCTGTGTTTGTTAATGCTGTACTTTTGTTCTCTGCCTGTGTATGAAGTGGAAATAAGTGAATGAATGAATTAATCTTTCAATGTTTTCTATGGCCAATTATTTATTCGTCCACAACCATGCACTTACATTCAACGATCGCGCTGGTGGACTGCATTTATTGTCCCAAAAGTAGTACTTAGTAACCCATTTATTTCAATGATGCCATTCATTACAATTGTGTACAATCGTGTATGAATTAGAAAAAGTCTGTAGCATAATATTTGATAGTTATGCACACAGTGATTAATAATCAAGATGACAACATTTAGGTATAAGGTTAAGCAGAACGCTTTTGTGCCTTTACCCGTGGACAAACATACGACCAAAGTACTGTAATAGGGGACAAACAAAACACAACGGGAGACAGGACATGTGTGAGACAAGGCCTAAATATAATGACATTTCAATGTTTGCCCCCAACTGGAACAGAAGAGAAATATGTTTGAAATGTCATTAGCAGATTGCGACTGCAAAGTCCTTGTATGGAATATTACATCCCCCCCGCAAGGTACAGATCAACGAAGCTCCAAAATAAATGACTTGCAAAAACAATAGTCAGGGGGAAGTAAGCAAGGCCAAAAATCATTAAAAAAAGGGACACAGTTGTGTAACGGCTGGGGGGGGGGGGGGCAATTTGCAGGGGGCATGTACTGGTAATTAAGGGCCACTCAGTTTCTGGAAGGGGTTGTTTTTTTAACTATATAAATCTCATTTTTGGTCCCGATAGAACAAAATAAGAAAACAAACCAAAAATGTCACCAATGTTTCATTATTTCGTAGGATTAATTCTTTATTTACAAAACGAAATGTTGCTCAAGTGACAAGGGAATAAATGTGTGCTTGGGAGGTGTTAAACACTATGATCTGATACACCGTGCCCTCTGGAGACATGCACACAATAGGGAACAAAAGAATTGTTTAGACAATGTTGGATGGAATATTATATCTCCCCCACCCCACCCCCCGCAAGGTACAGATCTACGAAGCTCCAAAATGAATGACTTGCAAAAACAATAGCCAGGGGGAAGTAAGCAAGGCCAAAAATCATTACAAAAGGGACAAAGTTGTGTAACTGCCGGGGGTCCAATTTGCAGGGGGCAGTACTGGTAATTAAGGGCCACTCAGTTTCTGGAAGGGGTTGTTTTTTTAACAATATAAATCTCATTTTTGGTCCCGATAGAACAAAATAAGAAAACAAACAAAAACTGTCACCAATGTTTCATTTCGTAGGATTAATTCTTTATTTACAAAGCAAAATGTTGTTCAAGTGACAATAAGGGGATAAATGTGTGCTTGGGAGGTGTTAAACGCTATGATCTGATAGAACACTGTGCCCTCTGGAGACATGCACACAATAGGGAACAAAAGATTGTATACATCTCCACAGGGCAATTTCTAAAGATGTATACGTCTCCACAAGGTTTTCACGAAATAGATCTATGGATTTTACAAAAAATTAGGAATTTCCAAGGTATGTTGATCCGTCGCAAATGGTAAAGTTTTAGAAAAGGGCAGTCCGAATTTCAGCCAAGGAAATTAATTCTGGTTAAAAAAAAGAGCATTTTGAAACTGTACTTTGAAACTCGAAAACTTTAGTACACGAGAACAAAGAAATGTCTCAACAAGGATACAAATTTCAGTATGCATGTTTCAGACCGGTTGGAGTCTGGAATGCTGATAATTACACTGGAGCGCCGGGTTGAAGAATAAGGACTCAACCAGGGGGCGGCACTGGGTTTGCCCAGGGACGAGTTCAACCCGGGTTAGTGAGGCTCCACTGTTATTTCGGTTGTGTACTATATGGACCTAGCAACAAGTTGTGTAAAAACAAATGAACAACTTGTGTAATATTTTACACAGGTTGTGTAAACAACAGTTTACACAACAGGTTGCTAGGTTCATATAGTACACAACCGTTTGATTTTTACACAACCGAAATAACAGTGTCCAGTGTGAACAGCCCTATAGTTAACAGGGATTTGTTTTGCTTTACAGTTAGTGAAGCCACAAAATCCAGGTCTGACTTTTACTCAATGACTTCATTAAAACGATGAAGCCATATTTATATTCGGACAATAACCACCCTTGGGGCATCAACTACTATCAAAGAAGAATAACAAGCTTGAAACCGGGCAAAAAAATAGCCTCCCCATTAGCAAATTCAACCATCTTGTTTACGTCATTAGGACTTGTTTGTCCAACAATATATTTTGTTTTCTTTAGGTATGGATTGTTATTAATACCAAGGCACTAATACTTTAAAAGCCCTCTCCTAATAATCCCGCAACTCTTCCTTTCTTACCGTAAACGGGGTATCGTGCATGCACGGAGCTCGTACATTTGTAATTGAACATTTTAGACGATATATTTAAAGGGAAGATACAACATTTGCAAACATCAAAAACGAAATGATCAAATTATCACAAAATACCTTACTGGATTATTAGTGAATGACAGTTTAAAGCATCCTGTAAAATCGTGGCTCCTGGTGTACTGATATTTTCAAGAAAAACTGTTTTTTGTTCCCCTCCAAAACTGTTCCCTAGTTTTCATATTAGGTTATTGCGTTATTTTCTTTGCAATTGATTACACACCTGTGAAGGGTTACAAGCCTGCCAGACTGATTCTCTGACCTTACAATTCCCCAAAGTTTATAAATTGCTCTGTTTCATCTTAAGTGGGGTCTGGGAAGCAGACTTCCAAGAACATCATTGGTTTTCTTGGTTTTTCCAGCATCTACTAGCCCAAAACATGAAACAAATCAGTTTAACAATATTTGCTACAACACACTAATCCTCCAAATCCATTTATTTCTGAAAATTGCAGCAAAAACAAATGTTGTACATTCCCTATAAACACTACCGACAAATCATGTGACTTGGTAAGGTTGAAAACGTGCGTTGTAGATTAACTAAATACTTACACAACCAGTTTCAAAACCCCAAGTCCAACGAGTGCTTTGGGGTTGAAACTCATGGAAACAAAATTAAAGAATTAGAAAAAACTCTCCAAATTCTGAAAATGAAAGATTCACATGGACACAACCATACAAAATACAATACACTCTGGAATATGTCATGATCTTCAAAATGCTGTTCCAGCTCACATAAAAAGGGTAAGATAAGAAAGAGACACAAAGACATCCAACTTTTAGAGATATGAAACTCCAATATTGGATTTTTTCCCAACACTGACGGATTTCATAAACACTGTATACGCAGTGGGAATTGTCGGTAGACTTGCAAGAAAAAATTCACAACTATGTAGTAAGCAGGAGGTCGTGAGTTATTAGACTCCTGCCTGAGTTTTGCTTGCAAAGTCCTCCAAAAACACTGAGAATACAATGTTTATTAAATACGTTATTGAATGTTTTTGTTTTCAAGCCTTTAAAATCTCACAGACAAAGTAAGTTACTCTAACCTTAGAGCTCAATATTTTGGTAACAAATACCGATATATTTATATTTTTAAATTAAACTTTCATCTTCAGATAGAAAAAATTATGTGAGGTCTTGATGAAAATGTCTCAAATAAAACACTTGTAATTACTTTTTAGTATCTAAATTACAATTTATACATGTGTATGTAAATTCAATAATGGGTTTTGCTTCACTGGCGTTTTTTTTATAAACACTGTATACTATAAGGGGAGTCAGGTTGGCGTAGCGGTACTTTCCTCGCCTTCCACCGCTGTGACCCGGGTTCGAATCCCGCCCGGGCCAATAATTATGTGGATTGGGTTTCAGTCCCTACCTGATTCTGTGGGTTTCCCCAGAATATTCTTCTGGGTGTTTCCTACCACTTCTGAAACTGGAATTTCTCCTCATTGTCTTCTCTCCACAGGTTTCTTCAGGCTTGCGAGCTGCAGTGCCTAGGGCGCTTTTGAGGAATCCTTGGTTTCATAACCAGAAATGATTAATCATAACAATAATAATTATTATTATTACCCTGGATTGGACATTTGGGAGACATCCCCATAGACTTGTGCACAAAATTGTTCAAACTTAAATGTGCCCTATCCCAATATTCCCTTGTCCTTTTTCCACGAATTTCGGTATGTTTACTAATTAGACCACGAGCAACAAATATAACCTAATTGCGACGGTAAAATTGTGCCTCTAAAGGGGGGCTGTGACATTGGGGAGACATGAAAATGTCTCCCTAATGACCGATGTCTCCCATCGTGCGAAGAAATTACGACAACGTGTCTCCTTAATGGTACCATTACGCGTATAATACTTGCAAGTCGTCGGACAACACGGAATATAGAGTGTTTATAAAAAACCTTGTCGAAGGACAAAACCCGATGTTGAATGCAAGTTACAATAAAATGGTAGAAAAAAACCTCCTAATTTATAGTCAAGTTACTCTATCTTCAGTATGCTTCGTTTCTCTAGTTCTTCCATTTCCTTGAGGACGTACGCCACGCTGTATCGCAACTCATGGAACTTAGACACGGGAACCTATAAAACAAAAATGAAACAAAAAATCGGTGTAAAAAAAAGGAGTTTTCAATTCAGAAAGCATCACCCGACAAAATAACAAAATGAAATAAGAAAGAAAGAATGTGAATATTAATTTGTGAAAGCTAGATTTCCAGTTTTGTAAAAAATAAATTCGGACTTCGAAATGTTTAATCTGTTGTAATTTTGAAATAAATTTTATTTTAAGTAAATTATTACGACATCAAGGGCTTTGTAGGAGGTGAGAGCTGTACGAATTAACATTTATCTATTGAACTCTGAGTTGGACAGCAAATTCAAAATTCATTTCATGTGATCTTCATTTCTCTCTTTTTGTTTCTTCACGGTTATGCATTTTTATCCCCCGGGATTTCAGGCCAGACATGGGGATATTGCGATCGCGTATTCCTTCTGTGTGTCCGTGTGAGTGTGTAAACACCGGCAATCGTGGACCTAGGACAAAAGGGTTAGGGTACAAACAAAATGTCCACGATTGACCGATAGTCCACGATTGAAAATCGTGTACAAAACCAATGAGAGCTGTTGCTAAACAGTTAGAGTACAAACAAAGGAATGAGGATTACGGACAATAGGGGGTCCACGATTGCCGGTGTTTACAAAGATGGGAAGGCATTTCATTCACTGTGTGGAATTCGGAACATAAGAGGTCCACATAAACCAGGTAGCAGCGACGTTGTGTGGACTTGCCCACGTCCACACAGTGTTTCCCCCTCTCTCTGGAAAACAGATTTAGAGGCATTTTGGGGTTAGGTTTATACGTGGCAAAATGAAGAGAAACACTAAAGGGAATCACAGAAAAATTTGGGTTGAAAGAGTTTTCACAGTGTGAGTAAAATGATTGTTTTCACAGGTTTTTCTTAACCACATGAAAACAAAGGAAATGTCCACACTTCTTATGTAACGTAAACGTGGGTGGCCATGTGTGGGTGAGCGTGTGTGGGTGTGTGCGTGTTAATGTATGAGTGCATACAATGAATGCACGTAACTGTTTTGAGGAGAAATCAAAACAACAAGACGAATGAAAGCATAGAGGAGTTTTTCGAAGCACGTTTCCTTTGTTTACTGACACAGGAAGTCTTACATGGCTAGACATATCCAATTATTTTTTTAATAAACTTTACATATTTTATTTTCTAAAATGTCTATTCATTCTTTGGTAATTTTTTTTTTTTTGGGGGGGGGGTGTGCAGTGGTGTTAGCTAAGACTGAAAGTACATCAGAATGTTATTTGTTATTTCAGAATGATTTTGTTGTTTTTTCCTTCCATTTTCATTTGGGAGGGGGGCTGAGTGAGACCGGCAAGTTCGAAGCAAAACACTTCTTTACAAAGCATTGATCCAAGAATTGTAACTGTATATTTCCCTGTAATAGTGTTTATTATTGTCTGTTATATAACCGACATACAGATCCTTGTCATTTGATTGGTGGAACTCACATCACGTGGCATTCGTTATTGCTCCCATTCATGCCGCGGCTCAAAAAGTACTATCTGCCCATGGGGAATGGGAAATACTATTCAACAGTTAGGATCATGACGCGGTATTTGTGTGCAAATGCATGCTGGTGTGCGCGTTCAGCGTTGCGCGTATTGTTCCAAAGAGCCAGCGCTACAGCGTTGGGTTCAAACATTTTCATGAAGGGGTGGTTTGGAAGAGAGAAATACATTTTCCTCCAGTTTTTATTTGAAATATATCAAATGACAAGGATCTATATGTCAGTTATATAAAACAAATATTGAGTGGCTTGAAATTGTGAAATGGGAGGAATATTATTGCTCGGTAAAATCTGGACTTTTCCAGTTCACTTGGCTTTGCCTCATGAAATGGAAAAGTCCAGATTTTACCTTGCGATTATATTCCTCCCATTCCCACTGAGCCACTCAATATTTGTATACAGTTACAAAATGATAATTATCATTATGCAAACACTTTTAATCTACATGTAGTCATGTAATATCAACAGCAATAATGTATGTACCGGGTACTTTTACTTAACAATATGATATATGTGGTGTGTACTGTGTAGTGCCACACTTTCATAATATCTGTTGGGGTCTCTGAAGAAAAAAGCAAGCGTGCACTTTTTTTCTCTCTTATGCAAACACATCATATGGTCATATAATAATAAGTGTTTCCTTTGATAGAATTTTTTTCAGCTCGGATTTGTCTAAACTTTACTTTACTGCATATTTACAAGTATTCTGGGTTTGTATTTTGTTCATTTGTCTAAACTTTACTGCATATTTACAAATATTCTGGATTTGTATTTTGTTCATTTTTTTTTCTCATTTGCAAGTAATGTATGTATTAAAATGAATTAAAATTCAACTCCTTGCCTTATGTACTGTGTACTGACCCAACAGTTTAGGGTTGTTCGTGTTTAGCAGAAAACAACAGGTTTTTTATTTTTTGGCCTTATGAAACCGTACTTTGCCTGATTAACCTGAACTCTTACATATCAGCTTCACATAACTCAAATAATCGAACTTTTTCATCAGCGTTACATAACTCAAATAATCGAACTTTTTCATTAGCTTTACATAACTCAAATAATCCAACTTTTTCAATCAGTCGGCCTCTGAAAAAATGTTGCATTCCAACTTAAAATAAAAAGCCTCTACTGGGTTGCACTGTCTTTGGAACAGTTATATCATATCACCAGTTCTACATGAACTGCAGATGCCCGCAATAGAGCTTTTCTAATTCTCAAGATGAATCAGTGATGGAGCAGTAAATTCCTTTTTTTTTCCAATCATGGATGACGTTAGCAGCAACGTACTGCACTGTTGTATAATAACATCCTTGATTTTTTTTTTTAATGTATACGTGTACAGTAAGAAAATTGTGTAACCTGTCGTATGTGTAGTACTTACATATAGCAGGAATTAAAGGGAAAATACAACATTTGCAAACATCAAAAAATAAAACTACCAAATCATTTTGAAATACCTTGCTGGACTGTTAGTGAATGACAGTGTAAAGCATCCTGTAAAATCATGGCACCTGGTATACTGTCATTTTCAAGAAAAGTGGTATTTTTGTATCAATTTCCAACGCTGGTCGGCCGACCAGCATTGGAAAAAACTGGCTTTTTTTTTCAAATACTGGCCCCAATTGACCATCACACTTGTTTGCAATCGATTACACACCTATGAACGGGTACAAACCAGCTCTAGACTGGTTCCCTGACCTTACAATTCCCCAATGTATGTAAACTGCTCTGTTTCTTCTTATATGGAGTCAGGGAACCAGACTACAGGAAAATGATTGTTTTTCTTGGGATTTATAGCATTTTCGAACCCAAAACCTCAAAAAAGTCAGTGTAACTATATTTGCTATATATTTCCAACCCCCCAATTCCATCCATTTCTGAAAATTACAGCAAAAGCAAATGATGTATATTCCCTTTAAGAGGGGAAAAAAATGTACTGTCAAGCAAAGTTCAGGACTCGTCAGGATACGGTGTGGTTAAGAAATTAAACAAAGCATGGTGTTACATGTATGTTGTGTAAGTGTAATTAGCTTGATCACATGTTACAAAACACTTGTAATTACACTTGATTTAACACGTGCATTGACAGTGCCTGAAACCGAAATTACATATGACTTTTTTTTTGCATAATTTTCTGCGTCTGACTGTTCCAAAGGAGTTATTCCATAACTGAACAAAGGATATTGTTGTGAAATTACAGGTATAAGATTTAAGATTAAGATTATCATTTCAATTACATGTATTGATTGTAAATACTTCAATGCGTAATACCTGCATTCAGCAACCAGTGCATATTGACAATCAAATTTCGAGTATTCTGTATTTTCGGGACAGCCATAAAAAATCGACTACTTTTTCTAAATTGCTATTTCTCTAGTAATACAAAAGTTAACCCCCAAAAATAACACAATGAGACATTGACCGAAAACAAGGGTCCATGTTTAGTTATTAAATTATCTATTCACAAAGCCGATCTGTTTGTGCCTAAAGCAAAACCCTTCTTTTTCAGAGGGTTACAGACGTCCATAAAAAGGAAAAGGAGGTTTTTTGGGGGTTGGAATAAAACATACAAATTGAAAATTTATTCATAGAAAAAAAAATAACTTAAATTTCAAATTATTTTTCTTCAAATTTCAAAAAATCTAAATCAAATTTAAAGTTTGTCTCCCCCAAGTTTTATTATTGAGACTGACCAACGACAATATGTACAAACATGTAGGCACATAATAGGAAAAGTTTCTGTCAGGATTGAGTTGAAAAATATAAAGTTCTTTACAAAACAAAATCTAGGACGGCTTCTGAACTCAAAAATGTTAACCTCATTTGCTAATCTTGCAAGAATGAACTTCTGGGGTTACTGTCAGTAACCCCAGAAGTTCATTCTTGCATGGTTAGCAAATGAGGTTAACATTTTTGAGTTCAGAAGCCGTCCTAGATTTTGTAACTGTGCGTTATAATGAGGTAGGGCCACAAGCATTTCCAAATATATAGGAAAACAGATATAGAAATGTGGCCTTAATATAAAGAAATTAAATTCCAAATTGATAAGTATGGGGGTCATACTTTCTGGACCATTGAAAAGACCATAATTATGCTCAATTCTGAACATTACAAAACAAAATCTTGCACTGAAAATTTTAATAAATATCAGACTGTAAGGATTCCTGAAGGAAGGTCATTTGTTAATGATCCTGTCTCTGAAGAATCCCCCAAAATATGAGAAACCACAGAATTACTGAAATTTCGTAACGTCTAGTTCACATGGCAATGCGGTCAAGGTGCATGCAGAAAACAAACTACATAACCGTCCAGTTTTCTAGCACAAGACTTTTAAAGCTGTAGTCCATCATTTGCAGCTATCCGAAAAGTAACTGGCGTAATAATTGTTGAAAAACATACTTGTTAGTAAGGGGACTAAACTCCCTGTGAAATTATTCTGTCTGGCAAGCTGTCATTTTGAAGTAATCAACGAAAGAAGGCCTTTCCAACAGTGCTTCTTAAGACGCATCGTAGGAAATTTAAATTAGTAGTTTGTTTTGTTATTCGGCGAAGCGCGCAAGCATTGGCACGACACACACGCACGCGCGGTTGCTAAAATTCATCGGATCAGTGCGCGACATCGTGTAGCTCCAATCTGCTCAGTGTGAACGCGTCTCGGACGCTGAATTCAGGCCCAATTCAAAACATGATTCAGCAACTTTTGATTTGAAATTGAGATCCTAGAATGCTGTTTTTCTCGGAATATACAGCTGACATGCCTGAAGCTGAGCTGAAACTTCATCAGGTTAGTTGTTCAGTACCCTTCTTTAGATTTTGAGCACTTTTATTGCTTCAAACGAGCAAAATGCGCAAATTACAAATGATGGACTATATATTTAACACAAGAAGAAGTGAGGCTAACCACAAACTAACTGGGCCAAGTTTCATGGACTTAAGCAGTTCGCGTCGGAGGACGTGATAACACGCACTGGCTGTTTTTATACACAGGCACGGCTGACGGGTTAAGACATCAAAACTGTCTCGACTCGCCTCCGGGTGATGTCTAAACACACTAATCCCTCGTGCCTTTTGTACATACACACACACGAAGTCCGTGAAGTCTGTGGAGGCGGACCGTGTGTTGATCTTGAATTGGCCATTGTGCACGGCCTATTGTTATACAACTTACGCCTCACTGCACACCCCAGAGTATATTGAAACATATGAGTTTCAGCAAGAAATAGTACAAATACTGTTGAAATGACTCTTTCGAATCAGTATTTGTGGCGTTTGACTATATATCGGAAGTTGGCTGGAAAATTTGGCCTTTTGTGAAAATATTAATTTTCTGGAAAAATTAATCTCGGCGCGAAGTGGCTAAAGCGGACAATGTTGCTTAGAAAATGTATGAGCCATTACGTGTGGATTGAAGCTTATACGTATGAAATTGAACTTAGAAAGTATTGGGGAGAATAATAAAAACAATAATAATAATCGGCATTTAAGAAAGCCCTTAATATTTAAAGGGAAAATACAACATTTGCAAACATCCACAAAAAAAAAACTACCAAATCATTTTGAAATACCTTGCTGGACTGTTAGTGAATGACAGTGTAAAGCATCCTGTAAAATCATGGCACCTGGTATACTGTCATTTTCAAAAAAAGTGGTATTTTTGTATCAATTTCCAACGCTGATCGGCCGATCAGCGTTGGAAAAAACTGGCTTTTTTTCAAATACTGGCCCCAGTTGACCATCGCACTTGTTTGCAATCGATTACACACCTATGAACGGGTACAAGCCAGCTAGACTAGTTCCCTGACCTTACAATTCCCCAATATATGTAAACTGCTCTGTTTCTTCTTAAATGGAGTCAGGGAACCAGACTACAGGAAAATGATTGTTTTTCTTGGTTTTTATAGCATTTTCGAACCCAAAACCTCAAAAAAGTCAGTGTAACTATATTTGCTATATATTTCCAACCCCCCAATTCCATCCATTTCTGAAAATTACAGCAAAAGCAAATGATGTATATTCCCTTTAACTAAATCACAGCGCTTACAGTATTATTATTACCCCTGATCATTGGGCCAATTAAACATTCCAAATACCATCTCAGCTCGCTGGGGAGTATATAGCTCGATGCTGTCTGTTAGGCGCAAGCAAGCCAAATCAATCACATAACCATCTCTGCCCTCACAGGTACCCATTACTCCTGGGTGGGGAGAAGCAATGAGTGACAAAGTGCCTTGCCCAAGGGCACATGCACCATAACCCCGGGCTGGACTCGAACCCACAACCTGCAGAATTACCCGCAGACCACGAATTCAACGCCCTTAACCACGAGGCCACAGCAGAACCAACCCATCTGCTCCTTACAAGGTTAGCGTCCCTTAGCAAGACACCTTGCAACAATAACCCCATTCAATGGTAACATTGTTACATAACCACAGACAATTAAAATTGTTACATAACCACAGATAAAAGTTAATTTCAATGAATATTCATCAGTCCCTCCTTGTTAGTCCACACGTATCCAAAAATGACAAGGACAGTTTGCCTATTCCTATTGGTCGAGAGCTCATCAGGGTTCTAGAGTTGATCAAATGGCATGAATGGCCTTTAACATTGTAGCCACAAGAGGGCAGCATAGTCTTTTAGTGATGGATGACTGTGTGTGCTATTGTACAAATACAACATGGTTTGTCGGGAAATAGTAAAAACTAATGAAACCCAAGGTGTTGGATGATTGGGACTATCTCCCCAGGGGTCATTTGTTTTCACTATTTCCCTGCAAAATCATGTTGTATTTGTTTTACTATACCTCATAAATATTCATCAGGCAGCTGCGGTATTTCATTTATCCATTCCACCATGTTTTTGATCGTGCAGTATTTGGATAAAGTGAAAGATTATTTTAATTTAAGGAGACGGACAGAATTGGAATTTGATTTTGTGTCATTGAATAACATTAACATTCACGTAAGACACTGGATTTATTTTTATTGTGTAAAATTTCACCCACTTCCTCCTCGGTTAAAATCGCAAAGCGAGCACCACCGGTCGCCAATTTGATGTACGCCGTAATAGACTGGCACATGCAACTGTCCTCACTGGTTTTCTCCACGGTACACATGTAAAGCACATGCGTCGTTGGTAAAGAGATAACACAGTACTGGAACAAATCTAACTGCTGCGACCCAGGTGTGTGATAGTACCTCCCTGTTTTTTGCGCGTCACACGCTCGTACGAAGACGCGGGATGATAGTAAAAACTTTCACAGGGTTGAGTTGCTGGAATGGACCAATGAAATGACTCGGTTGCCTGATGAATATTTATGAGGTATAGTAATTCCCAATATACCCTTGATATCATCAAGGGTGCATCTCTAGGGTGTAAAAAAACCCAACATGTTCCACACTACAACAGTCAACAACTGTTCAAATGGGAACTTACCTCAAAATTGTGAATGCTGCCGTTACTTAATGTCGTCTCCATCAAAATGGTGGGCTCCAGAACTCGGTTCAATGCACTGAAAGTTCAATTCACAGAAGGGAGAAATATTGAAGATTGAATCTCAAGTACATGTATGTATGTATATCCAGTTCAAACAGCTGGAATTAAATCAGTTTAACAAACCTCCCTAAATGAAAACAAAACACCTAAATGAGAACCCCCCCCCCATATAAACCACAAAGGTAAACTGACTAGGTGCAATACAGGGTGACCCCCCCCCCCAAAAAAATGCAACCCTGAAACATTTGCCTTTTTTCAAAAACATAATCCTTGCATTTTTATGTTTTGGATACCAGATTGAAGCCGAGAGCTTTTTCATTCAAATACTGGGAAAAAATCATGAAAACATCACATGCCTCATGACTGAGAACTGAAACCGCTCAGTCTCATGTCTGGCAGGAAAGCTTAAAGAGGTTGTGGAATGCTCGAAGATATTTCCGTCATTTTTTGGGTATATGTAGCCTATTAGGTGTGATGAAATAAAAACAACTATTGTTTCTGTCATAAAATGAGTACAAAAGGTACTTTTGAGGGCTGTTTTTCAAGTCCTGTCATGCCTGTTTCGACCCGAACGTGCAATTTGTGTAAAAGTCGTCGTTGCGGGCAGCAAACAAAACACAGTAAATCGTGACGTAATAAACAGGACTCCCGATGCAGAGTAGCATAAACGAGTCCTGTTTATTACGTCACGATTTAGTGTGTTTTGTTTGCTGCCCGCAACGACGACTTTTACACAAATTGCACGTTCGGGTCGAAACAGGACCTGAAAAATAGCTCTCAAAAGTAACCTTTGTACTCATTTCATGACAGAAACAATAGTTGTTTTTATTTCATCACACCTTAGGCTACATATACCCAAAAAATGACGGAAATGTCTTCGAGCATTCCACAACCTCTTTAAGATGATCAAACGTTATTGCATATATTTCTCGCAAAGTGAGGTACATGTACAACCATTTATCTGTTTTGACTTATTGGCAGGATATAACACAACAACTGTTGACTACTTTGATGTGGGATATGTTGTTTTTAACCCCCTTGGGGCACACAGCACCCTTTGCCTTCGCCTTGGGTGCTACGCGCCCCTCAGGTGTTAAAAACGCCATATACCAGAGAAGTGTGTTTCAACAACAATGAGGTTTTGCTTAATTTGCATCACAGACAGGGTACTCGCACACAGAGCCCACAGAAAGTCTGGCTTGGTGCCATCATTTGTTTACCTTGTGGAGATGCCGACATCCAGCCTCCATCGTAACCTGTCGAGGGTTGGTAGCCTGCTGCGGTTCTTGACGAGGGCTGCCTCCAAGGATGATCGCCTGCAGACAGAATGTTCCCAAATTTCTCGTCAATAAACTTTTTGAATAGAGTTGCCAGGACAAAACTGCCAAACTCAAGTTGACATTTATCGAGATGTCTTAAAAGTAAAATACTGAGAAAAAGGCCATTAAAGTTTTGATTTTTGTCTTCGTGAAAGTGAAAGATTGCAATTTTTTCTCCTTAAAAACGCTTTTATTCCACATATTTTAAACTACCAGTGTATCTTTAACATATGTGACCTATTCTGTCAAAAGCAGATGCTTCTGGGCAGAGGCTGGGCCAAAAAACGCTGTGGGGTGATATTTTTGGATTTTCTAATTTTTACATATTTGTAATCCTGAACATGTCTTATATATAATATCAAAGTTTGAAACCCTAATTTGAACTCTAAGTATAGTATTTTTGATGATTTGTTAAGGTATATCAGTTAAAGAAATGTCACTTGAAACAGGTCTTAAAATAGACCCCAAACTTTAACTGCCATTTTCTCCGTTTTCTACTCTTTGACACGACGAACCCCAAAATAGCATAACTTTGCCCAGGAATGACCGGTTTCAAAAATTGAACCACCTATTAAAAGGAAAATGTACATTATTTTAACAATAAGCAAAAATCTCATTTTTGACCTATGCCCAGAAAAGTCTGATTTTGACGGAACAGGTTACATATTTGTAGTAGACATATCAAAGATTACAAATATGAATAAATCGGAAAATCTGAAGAAAAAAACATCCCACTCAGTTTTTTTGCATTTTCCTACACTACGGCCAGTGCCCAGTTCTGTCTCATTTTGCTAGAACGCCTCACAAATTCCTCCCTTAGACGCACCATTTCTAATGGTCCCTATTTTGTGAAAGGCATTCCCGTGAAGTGTGCATGGCCTCACAATGAGCGATCGGCATTCGAGGGGGAGAAAACCCAACACAGACAAAACGTACAGTGAAAATTGACACTTACTTTGCACCGTACACTGCACTGCTGAAATCAGCCACAAATTCCTTGGGAACTCTGAATATAAACACGACAAAAAAATATAAAATGCAAAGTAACATTTGGTAATTATTTCGATTCTTTGGTCTCGAACAATTTTTTCTGAGAACAGCGCTGCGTGTGTAAGTTAACATATTGCAACTGCTCAAATAACATTTTTGACAATCTTTCATTTTTTAGATTTACAGATAATATACATGTACAACATTTGCTTTTGCTGTAATTTTCAGAAAAGGATGGATTTGGGGGTTGGTTTTTATAGCAAATATTATTACACTGGCCTGTTTAAAGTTTTGTGTTTGTAGATGCTGGAAAAACCAAGGGAAAAAAATGCAGGTTTTGTAGTCTGGTTCCCTGACCCTACTTCAGACAAAACAGAGCAATGTATAGACGTTAGGGAATTGTAGGGTCAAGGAACCAAACTAGCTGGCTTGCACCCATTCACTTGGTAAATTGGGGGAAGTTTTTTTTCCAAAGATGGTCGGCTGACCATCGTTGGAAATTGATACAACATTTCCCCTTTTTTTTTGAAAATGACAGCTCACCAGGTGACATGATTTCACAGGATGCTTGAGACTATTATTCACGTACAGTAAAGTAAGGTATTTCATAATAATTTATTAGGTTTGTTTTTTGATGTTTGCAACTGTTGTATATTATCTTTAAGTAAAGTTACTATTAAATGCTTCAATAAATGGGATTTTTCTAGCATTTGACCCGGGAAAAGGTGTTATTCATTCAAAATTTGTTGCATTTTAAAGGTTTCAAAGAGTTGGGGTTAAAAACAAGTTTGGTAATCTTTTTTTTTTACGCAATGACAGAAAACCCATACACTTACCTCAGTTCCTTTAAGTCTTCTTTGAAGATCTAAACAGAAAGGGGGAAACCATCAGAATATTACTGCTATTTCTGTCACCTTGCTGTGCATTTGGAAGATTTCCATACTTCCTTAATGACATGTGCTTGGAACGCACCGCACACATAGGCTACAACTGAGTGTTAAAAGACATATAGTATCAGTTGCTCTTCATGCATTTTGTTCGTTTTCAATAATACACCACTCAAAATCAAAAAAAGAGTGTTCTTCAAAACTCAAACCTGCAGTTTCAGCTCAGTGGATATTATAACGTTTGAGATAACAATGAAAAGTCCATGCATAACCTTTCATCACGAAACTCTTTATTTCCAACGATCAGTCAATTCTACTAGCAAACAGGTTGCACCGCGCCTTTTCCACGTATACATACAATTTTGTATACATGTTTGCCAGTATGGAAAAGGCGCGGTGCAATCTGTTCACCAGTATGGAAAGAATGCAACGAATTGACTGATTGGAAAGATTTCCATATACGAAGTTCACTCAACACCCTGTGTACAAACCCTATGAGATTGGACTGAAAAATTCTAAGTGTTTTCTAAGAAAATGCTTGTCTTGTATTTTCTCACTGCTCAAATTGACTTTGATGACATGAAATTACTATCTGGGGGCTTGTTAGTCAATACAGAGGAAAATTAGTGAACTTCGCATATGGTAATCTTGCCGACTGATTGTTGGAAATCACCTACATTTCTTGATTACTCCTTAAATGACATCACGATTGACTTGTGACTAACTTATGATTGACTTGTGACTGACTTACGATTGACTTGTGATTGACTGGCTTAGGAGTGACCTGTGATTGACTGATGAGAGACTCGCGATTGCCTTGTGATTGAATAATTGACTTGATTGAATAAATGACGTAAGAGTTGCAGTCGACTCCTGACAAGTCAGTCACAAGTTGATCACATCTCAATCATTAACTTGCGAACGATGCAATACACTTGTGCTTGACTTACAAGTGACTTATGAACAACTTGTAATTGTGATTGATTTGTGAATGATATACATGTATGTGATTGAAATGTGATTGAGATGTGATTGACTTGTGATTGACTTGTGCTTGACTTACAAGTGACTTGTGAACAACTTGTGATTGACTTGTGAATGATGTGACTAAACCAAGGCTTGTGACTGACTTGTGAATGATGTAATACACTTATGACTGACTTGTGAATGATGTAATACACTTATGACTGACTTGTGATTGACTTGTGATTGACTTACAAGTGACTTATGACCAACTTGTGATTGACTTGTGAATGATGTGACTAAACCAAGGCTTGGGACTGACTTGTGAATGATGTAATACACTTATGAGTGACTTGTGATTGACTTGTGCTTGACTTACAAGTGACTTATGACCAACTTGTGATTGACTTGTGAATGATGTGACTAAAGCAAGGCTTGGGACTGACTTTGAATGATGTTATACACTTATGACTGACTTGTGATGGACTTGTGCTTGGCTTACAAGTGACTTATGAACGACTTGTGATTGACTTGTGAATGATGTGACTTAACCAAGGCTTGTGACTGACTTGTGAATGATGTAATACACTTATGACTGACTTGTGATTGACTTGTGCTTGACTTACAAGTGACTGATGACCAACTTGTGATTGACTTGTGAATGATGTGACTAAACGAAGGCTTGTGACTGACTTGTGAATGATGCAATACACTTATGACTGACTTGTGATTGACTTGTGCTTGACTTACCAGTGACTTATGACCAACTTGTGATTGACTTGTGAATGATGTGACTAAACAAAGGCTTGTGACTGACTTGTGAATGACGTAATACACTTATGACTGACTTGTGACTGACTTGTGCTTGACTTACAAGTGACTTATGACCAACTTGTGATTGACTTGTGAATGATGTGACTAAACCAAGGCTTGGGACTGACTTGTGAATGATGTAATACACTTATGACTGACTTGCGATTGACTTGTGCTTGACTTACAAGTGACTTATGATTGACTTGTGATTGACTTGTGCTTGACTTACAAGATGACTTATGACCAACTTGTGATTGACTTGTGCTTGACTTACAAGATGACTTATGACCAACTTGTGATTGACTTGTGAATGATGTGATACACTTGTGACTGACTGGTGATTGGCTTGTCCTTGACTTACAAGTGACTTATGAACAACTTGTGATTGACTTGTGAATGATGTGACTAAACAAAGGCTTGGGACTGATTTGTGAATGATGTAATACACTTATGACTGACTTGTGATTGACTTGTGATTGACTTGTGCTTGACTTACAAGTGACTTATGACCAACTTGTGATTGACTTGTGAATGATGTGACTAAACCAAGGCTTGGGACTGACTTGTGAATGATGTAATACACTTACGACTGACTTGCGATTGACTTGTGCTTGACTTACAAGTGACTTATGACCAACTTGTGATTGACTTGTAAATGATGTGACTAAACCAAGGCTTGGGACTAACTTGTGAATGATGTAATACACTTACGACTGACTTGTGATTGACTTGTGCTTGACTTACAAGTGACTTATGACCAACTTGTGATTGACTTGTAAATGATGTGACTAAACCAAGGCTTGAGACTGACTTGTGAATGATGTTATACACTTATGACTGACTTGTGATTGACTTGTGCTTGACTTACAAGTGACTTATGACCAACTTGTGATTGACTTGTGAATGATGTGACTAAACCAAGGCTTGGGACTGACTTTGAATGATGTAATACACTTATGACTGACTTGTGATTGACTTGTGCTTGACTTACAAGTGACTTACGACCAACTTGTGATTGACTTGTGAATGATTTGACTAAACCAAGGCTTGGGACTGACTTGTGAATGATGTTATACACTTATGACTGACTTGTGATTGACTTGTGATTGACTTACAAATGACTTATGACCAACTTGTGATTGACTTGTGAATGATGTGACTAAGCAAGGCTTCTGACTGACTTGTGAATGATGTAACACTTATGACTGACTTGTGATTGACTTGTGCTTGACTTACAAGAGGACTTATGACCATCTTGTGATTGACTTGTGAATGATGTGACTAAACCAAGGCTAGTGACTGACTTGTGAATAATGTAATACACTTATGACCGACTTGCGATTGACTTGTGCTTGGCTTACAAGTGACTTATGAACGACTTGTGATTGACTTGTGAATGATGTAATACACTTATGACTGACTTGTGAGTGACTTGTGATTGACGCGTGACAACAACTCTCATGCAGAACGCATACCTCTGGTTTCAACGACGTTACAGGAAGCCTGAGTGCGCATCTTAGTAGAGTGCAGATGCCAGCAAAGACTGTGCCGAGCACTTCCTGGGAGAGTTTGTCGCTTGCAAGAGAGGAGAATGTGCTTTCCAGAACATCATTGCCTTCAATCAACGACACTGCGGCTGGAAAACAATTACACAATAAAAAATGTCTTTAGATGAAAAGGCAAAAGATGATGCCAATAAGTGAAAGAGCTGAGAGGGATGGAGGCTAGGTGGGGAGGGAGGGGGGATGCGTAGGCCTGGTTCAAATACTGGACTGGCTCAAGTTAACGCACTGATACAGTGAAATTAAAAGTCAAGTAAACTGAATCGGTGCCGTGTTTGGAAAATGCACATGTTTGGAACACTTGGAACTTGTACCCGATAATGTAGAACTTTGTCAAATTTTGATTTTCACATTTAGACTTTATTTGTAGTTTATTTACGCTTTAGAAGCACACTCGCCCTCTTTAAAGCGATGGAAAAGAAGTCCTGCCTTTTTCAGAAGTCTCTTTTTGTGTGTAATTTCTAGGTTCGTTTGATCTAAATTCCAGCATCGAAGCGAAAGCTAATAAGACTCGAGTCCCAAAAATATAAGCACAACTTTGCGAAAAGTATTTGCAATGACTTACGGTGCAAAATTTATGCTCACTTCGCTTTGCGAATAGCAGTCATGTACAAATATACAACGTGACACAGACTCCCACCTCATGGTTCTAGAACGCACAAAATACTATCCAGGAACTAGATTTTTAAACACAGTTTCTAATTCGCTGTTTCATCATTGGCCTGATTCGATTTCTTATAAAGCTCTTGGATGCGAACGCTGGCTAAACTTATGGCCTCCTTTTATAAATTTTGGTATAAAGTGTTCAAATATTCGTGACTCGAATTGACTCGAGCTAAATATTTGACTCGACTCGACCTTTCGACCTAATGACTTGACTCAACTCAAGTCACTTCTTTAAAATGACTTGACTCTACTCGAGTCACTTCTTTAAAATGACTCGACTCGTCTCGAGTCACAAAAATCGGTGACTCGTTACAACTCTGATGTTTTTCTTCAGTGACTTATCAGCCATCAGAAAGTGATATGTCCTAAAAAGTGAAATTTAGCAGGGAAAATATTGAACTATTTTACTGAGAAGATACTTCGACATTTTCAGACAAGTCTCATCATACGGTTTGTGCACAGCCACAGGTTGATGCATGGCCAGATATGGGGATCTTTTCCATGTTCCAAGTGTGGCCTTTATTTACGGAGGTAGTCCAGTAAATTGGGAGTATTGCAGAATACCCCGCCATTTGGAAATACACCCCTAAATTCTCTGGCTACGCGGTTGGAATCACTGGAAAAGAAACAATTCAAGTTCATTGCCAGCTACACGGATACTGAGTGGGGGTCCATTATTTGAGAACGAAGCAACACAAAAGGAATGGGAGTTGCTGAAAAAATTCTAAGTCCAAACCAACCACCCTGTTGCCGGCTACGCGGATACGGAGTGGGAGTCCCCTTGAATATATGCTTGAGAACGAAGCAACACAAAAGGAATGGGAAATTGGCCACATTAATTTATTGACTAGGGAGGGGGATAGCCCGACTGCGTCTGGCCGTACAGTACTATCGCAAGCTCTGTAGTACGGCCAGACGCCCGATGCTTCCAAAAAGACTGAATTTTTTTGGCCGCCGATGTAGCGATTTTGCTACATCTTTCGATCGCGATTTTCTTTTCATCCAGGACACAAATTTCCAAAGTTAAGGTTCGTAGTCGTAGAGCAACTCATACCTTTTCGAAAAAAACGTTCTTTGGTCTCAATATTTCCATCCATCTGGCCACAAGACGAATTTCAGTCATCAGATTCCACAAATATCGTCCCCCATGCGATCCCCCATGCGATTTAAAAATGGCGGCCGCGCTGTAATGTATGCATTATGCGAGCGCGCTTGGGCAAGATAATGAATATGCATCATAGTTTATGACGTTTGTCGGACACTCAGCGCGGCTGGCCATACAAACATAGAGGTCATGAACTAAATAATGCATATTCATTATCTTGCCCAAGCGCGCTCGCATAATGCATACATTACAGCGCGGCCGCCATTTTGAAATCGCATGGGGGATCGCATGGGGGACGATATTTGTGGAATCTGATGACTGAAATTCGTCTTGTGGCCAGATGGATGAAAATATTGAGACCAAAGAACGTTTTTTCGAAAAGGTATGAGTTGCTCTACCACTACGAACCTTAACTTTGGAAATTTGTGTCCTGGATGAAAAGATAATCGCGATCGAAAGATGTAGCAAAATCGCTACATCGGCGGCTAAAAAAATTCAGTCTTTTTGGAAGCATCGGGCGTCTGGCCGTACTACAGAGCTTGCGATAGTACTGTACGGCCAGACGCAGTCGGGCTAGGAGGGGGACAGAATCTCCCAATTCAACACACGCCCCTTAATTTTTCTACTGAGACCGCAAATATAAATAGCGCCCTCAATAGATTTGCCTGCTGGGTCGTTTCACCAAAATGCTTCCCGTTACCTTTCAAAAGCTTCCTGAAAGTGTCTTTCTCCACATTCTTCAGGCATTTGACCATCATCTTGACCTCCATTGGTGTCCGCGGTCCTGTGAAGGGGGTCCGATCGGACGACCCGATCATCTGTGAGCCAGACATTTTGGCAAGAAAAACTGCGAACCCTCCCCCGAAACTCTAAAACCCAGGCCAGATTTGTGCAGTCGGGTGCCTTCGCATATCAACACGCTTTACATATAGCTTTACGTACATGTTAGCAGAGCTACGTCTGGGATACAAACTTGAATTGGCGTGTAGTAAATGCATACATAAAACAGTCGTAGTACGATATAAACTTCGTTGCAAATGAATGAACAAAGTGAAAGGAAACGGATGTTTGATGAATGTTTATACTACAGCCTGTACAGGGATGTAAACGTGCTGCACACACGAGCTCGCAATCACAGGTTTTTCTGGTGCGCTTGATGACCAAAATTTATTAAAGAGGTAAGAATAGTGTCGTGTTGGGTTATTAAAGTTCTATAGTATCAATCACGGAGGAAGGAAAGTCCTATTGAGTCTGTTAATAGGCCTCGAGGCTCGCGCTCGAGCAAGTTGAGCATGCCATGGGACTTGGGAGTTGATTCATGGGTGTTTGTGTTTGTTGTGCCCATTCTTGAAAATCACGCATTCTCGAGAATGGGCATGCACATTCTCGAGAATGTGCAACTGGATCCTTGCTCAATCTTGGCAAAAAATAACTCTTCCAGATTGAGCGCACATTCTTGAGAATGCGCGACAAGATAACGGTCTTGTCGATGCCGAGCACCGGCTGCGCTTGGCAAGTCTAGCGGAAAAAATTCCATACTCGGACGTCACTTTTTTCAATTAATTTTCTAGCGCCAAAAGTTACATCTTTTATGGTTATTCCTCTACTTTCCCTCCTCTACTCTCACCCTCTCCTTTCCTTAATTTCTATTTATTAATCAGTCAGTTGCTTCATCGGGATTCGAACTTCTGACGCTTGCTTGATACACGAGACTCTTAACCGCTAGGCCGCGCACGATCGCTGTTGCAATAATCAATCTTTGAACGTATTTGAAGTATCCATTGAAATTAACTAAATATTCATGAGAAAATAAATATTCATAATGACGTATTGCACTATCATTGGCAGGCTCATGCGACGTCATGGTTGTTGATGTCACGTGTATAACGTACAGCTGTCTTTCAGCCACTACAATCAGTTTTGACCGGCTGCTTTAAGTTAGTTCTGCACGACGTATGCATCCAAAATGTGATCTAAAAACACATTTTTAGTAAATTTTTTTCACCTTAACACAGCTTCCTGGATCCCTCTTGGTTCAAAGAACAAGGTGAGGTGACAATTAATATGTTTGGCAGCAGATAAATTGACATCCGAGTATGGAACTTTTCCCAGTCTAGCTAAATCCTCGTTCACTGATTCTCAATAATTATACTGTTGCAACGCAAGGCGCTGAAAAGTAGAGTGGATATGATAAGTAAAGGCGTATTGATATGGGGGGGGGGGGGGGGGCGGGGGACCGGGAAAATATAAGAGACATAATAATACTAGTGCAAAGAATTCTGATTTTTGGGATAATAAAAGTGGGGGGGGGGGACGTAAGAATGAAGAATGTGAAGAATGAGAATGAATACTGCGACATCCCATAGTGCTAATGCTATTTCCCATTTAAATTGCCACCAATTTATTGTTCACATCCCACCTAGCCCGACTGCGTCTGGCCGTACAGTACTATCGCAAGCTCTGTAGTACGGCCAGACGCCCGATGCTTCCACAGAGACTGAATTTTGTTGGCCACCGATGTAGCGATTTTGCTACATCTTTCGATCGCAATTATCTTTTCATCCAGGACCCAAATTTCCAAAGTTAAGGCTCGTAGTCGTAGAGCAACTCATACCTTTTCGAAAAAACGTTGTTTGGTCTCAATATTTTCATCCATCTGGCCACAAGACGAATTTCAGTCATCAGATTCCACAAATATCGTCCCCCATGCGATCCCCCATGCGATTTCGAAATGGCGGCCGCGCTGTAATGTATGCAATATGCAGGCGCGCCCGCGCAAACTCATGAATATGCATAAACAGTCTGTGACGTATGACCTCGTGTTTTTGGACGTGCGTGCGGCGGGGCCGTACGTCCAAAAACACGAGGTCATACGTCACAGACTGTTTATGCATATTCATGAGTTTGCGCGGGCGCGCCTGCATATTGCATACATTACAGCGCGGCCGCCATTTTGAAATCGCATGGGGGATCGCATGGGGGACGATATTTGTGGAATCTGATGACTGAAATTCGTCTTGTGGCCAGATGGATGAAAATATTGAGACCAAACAACGTTTTTTCGAAAAGGTATGAGTTGCTCTACGACTACGAACCTTTACTTTGGAAATTTGGGTCCTGGATGAAAAGATAATCGCGATCGAAAGATGTAGCAAAATCGCTACATCGGCGGCCAACAAAATTCAGTCTCTGTGGAAGCATCGGGCGTCTGGCCGTACTACAGAGCTTGCGATAGTACTGTACGGCCAGACGCAGTCGGGCTAACATCCCACCATAACGTCGCAGAGCTGGATTCTATCTAGTCAAAAGAGTAATTTTGGCAGCTTCTGGACATCGTTTTTTTTTTGTGGCACGCATATGATACATGCAGGGACTTGTAACTTGTCTAGCCTAAACAAAGCACTTCCCAGACTAGTTCCCAGTCCTCCGTTATTACAAAACTTCCCATAGTGGACAGAAAAAAGCAATAATAACAGGTTTAATTTGATTCAAATTATCGTAGTTATACGAGTACAGAAGCATAGCACATTTTCTTTCCTCTTTATATGAATTGTTTCCCTTTTAACCGCTATACAATTCATTTAACATAATTATGTCGTGCAATGTTTGTTAAGATTGGGCAAAATTCATAAATTGTGCACGTGATATTCCCACCCAATCTTAAGAATGAGCGCTCATTCTTAAGAACGCGTGCTCGTTCTTAAGAATGGGCGCTCATTCTTAAGAATGCGCGCCCATTCTCGAGAATGTGCATGCCCATTCTCGAGAATGCGTGATTTTCAAGAATGGGCACAACATGTTCCTTCCTCCTACTCCTAGAACTATGAGGCTCCACGTAGTGTACCTTCCTCCGTGTATTTCATTTAAAAAGTTACCCATATTGAGTGTGCTTTTTTGTACAATAGTACATAGACAACAACTTACCTAATTTGGAGTTTCGCTCGCGCATTTTGTCAACTCACCACAGTAAAACCATGGTTTTGTTGTGGATAAACAAACACGTCTTGCTACCCGGCATTGCTAGCTAATTCTACCTCCATGGTTTATTTTACTCCTAGAACTATGTTGTGCACATTCTGTCCCACAAATCTTTGCGCAAGCGAAACTCCGAATTGGCTTACAATTTTTGTATATCCTCGAGTCACCATATTTGATGCAGATAACGCTCGCAACGTGCGCGCGCTGTCCAACGCTAATTGAATGCGAGTGCGTCAAAGCATTCTTTGTTTTAGGTGGACTGACAATATATTTGACATTATCAGACAATAGGTGGCACATTAGCAGCGGCTGTAGTCGCAGCATACTTGCGGACGCGACAAGATGATTTTGTTGACACAACGATTTTCGGGATTTTACCGACAAAAACAAATAATGGTTGGGGTGTCTTCCCCCCCCCCTCCCCCACACACATGCACCCATCCAGCCCCCTCCCCCTCCCCAAGCAAAAACCCTGCCACTCAAAGTTTGAATTCCAAACATGCCAAATGTTTCAGGTGTTTCATTTAACTCTGTTTATTAAAGTTGTTAATAAACAGTTTTTCTTCCAGGCTCTTTGAAAAATGAAGGAGGCCAGGGGCTTTTTTTTCCCTTCTGTTTTATCTTCCCAAGATGGCAGGCTTTTCAACTTAGCTTCCATTTTCTCAACTCTTTTGCAGAATCTACAAAATTGTGGCCTCAGGAGCCATATGCATCTCTTTCTAGTAATTTTGTTCAAAACAAATACAAATTATATTGACAAAAATATATTGCAAATGTATGATTTAAAAAAAAATTGATGCCGGTGAAAAAAAGGAAGTGGGCAGGAACGAGAAACTGTTTAATTTTTGATTTGGCCCAAAATGGCTCTTCAACACAACAGTCCAAGCTACTGGCTTCGAAATATGATACTTCGTTGTTTTTTTCCAGCAAAAGGAAATAGCTGTGTTTTTCGTTGTGAAGGGGTTTTCCCGGTCTTATGTCCTGGCACGCCTGGTGTTTTTATCCTGTTGATTTTTTCGAAACTGATATTTCCTTCCTTGCCATCTGTTTACTAAATTTATTCTTGAAGGAGGAAAGAGAACAATTTTAACAGTTGTGTAATTTCTCTTCATAGCCGGAAAATTGGCGATCGTAGGAACAAAATCCACTTTTAAATGAATTGACCTTCCAATCTAGTTGGCAACATTAGGCCAAAAAAAAAAGTCTCTGGTTTCTGGTATGGAGCTTGCCCAAAAAGTGGTGCGGCGACACGGCTTTTTTTTATGCTTGAAATGTTGGCTGATGACTGCTAATGGTGCCGGACTAAACTTAGTGCAAATATATGGGAGACCAGAGAGGCCACATAAAGCTTATTCTCGATCATAACCCCATCTAGAAACACGTTAAAATTGTGCAGCAGCAGGATTCCAGTCAAACCAGTGAGTTTGGCGGTTTTGAGACATCATCTTTCATTGAAAAAAAAAACTTTTTCATTTTGCCGACGCGCATGGCTACGGCGACGCGCGCGCATACCAGAAACCGGAGACTTTTTTTCTTTTGCCTTAAGAACGTACAAAATGATACGGGCACGTCATAGATAAAGGGCAGGGTTTTGAATTTTTGAGGGAAGCTTGGGGGCAAAATGACGATGGCAAACGACAAAATGCAACATGAAAATAAAGAAATAAAGAAAGCATTCACCACTTGATGTACCCTGAGCATGCAAGTCGCGCTGCACGGCACCAACCCGCTCATGAATGTAAACCATGCAGGAAAATTGTAATTTCTCCCCCCAAGAAACTGCTCCAAAATTAACAAAATGGTGTCAGCACATTGAGAGAAGTCTGCTTCAGGCTGACAATGTCATTCCAAAAAAAAATCTTGATTCAAATTTGATTGAAATACAACAGTGACCCCTACACTATATCGCCGAAAATTTAGACTGAATTTGTATTTTGTTCTAGCCGGTCTTGATCCCGGGAAAGCATGGTCGAGCAGCTACATTGCTAG